CTTGGATCTCCAATACTTCGACCTTCAGGCACTCAGGCGTGCGTCGACGATATATCGAGTACAGCAGCTTCTCAAGATATCTCACTCAACCCAGGGCGGAGAGTCGCCTGTCACCAATGGCTGGCGCTTCCAGCAACAAGCGCAACATCTCGACTCATTGCCCTATGACAAGCATCTCCAGGCCTTGCTGCCACACCTCCCGGACTACCAGGACCAAATCCGAGAGAACCTGGTGATGTACAGGCAATGGCTCCTACGTGACATCACTGAAGAGGAGACGGCCTGGGCCCGCGATACACTTTTAGAGTCGGCAGTCTCGAGAGGCGAACTCCGGGAACTTTTCGAGCATGCTCTCCTCAAGCAGGTAAACCATACACTTCAGGCCAGTGCTGAGTCTCCTCGCCACGTTGATTCCACTCCGAACTTCCAAAATAGCATGGCTCTTCGCTTCTACCAAATCATCAATCCTCTACATGATGACGTCTACGAGGAGTACAAACCGTTTGCGATCGTCTATAAGATGCTCACTCCCCTGAACCGCCAACGGGCTCGATCACTTCATCGTACTTTGTCGCACGAGAGGCACCAGTCCTTGCTTCGCCTTTTTGCACCCTAGCCTGCCAGCAACTTTGCTTGTGAGGTCCCCTCCTGCAAAGTAGAGCACCAGGTTAGCAACGTCTCTGTCCAACTAGGACACCAGCAGCCTTTTGCAAGCCAAGTTAAAGCAGCGGAAAAGTCTCCTGCATCTCCAACTGCAGCACAGTCCCTTCTCACTAAGACTACTGCGGCATTCTCCGACAATAAGGTCTTCCTGCAGATAGAGTTGGAGCCTGATGCAGTGCCAATGCCTCAGCCCTGGCTGATTCACCTACTAACACATTCAAGTCTGCAGCTTTCTGCTTCCATTGAAGCTTGCCACAGCCGGGCTCAGCCTCTCCACACAGGCTGACCACGTGAGGTCTCCACCCGGCTAGCAAACCAGCCATGCCTTCACCGTCTCGCGAGGTTCTGCTCGAGATTCTCCTGAAGTCGCTCCACGTCCCAGCGACCATCTACCTACCTGGCGGCATCAGTGAGCACATGGTCACATCAGCCTCAGCAAAAACTCATCTCGCCCCGAGGAGGCTCCTCTTCACCACAGAAGACCTTGAACGCATGGCAGAACGAAGCATGCGAGTAGCATCACGTCTCTGCAGCTTCATATGTCACTTGGATCGGTACCTGGCTTGGCGCGAGGGAAGACACACTGCCCTACCCCTTGAGGCTAGCCCACGTATCTTGGCAGGTAAGCGCAAGCACATCGACGACGAGCAGCCTTCAGTGCACCTACCCCCGAATATGGGGCCCCTCCAGCGCCAGCAAATCATGTACCTCACCCTCATGATCCAAAACTACACAAATGACGGAGAAGGCTCGCCGTCCTTTAGCACGTCCGATGCCGATCAGGCTAGTGCTTTAACCTGGCATTATCTCACCAGGAGGCTCTCGCAATCAGAGCTGAATGCCATTCTGCTCCGCACTTTGGAGCAGGCCAAGGTCATTCTGCAGTCTGAATTCACTCCAGCACATCGACGGAACCTACTCCAGCTGCATCCCCAAACGACGGAGGAGAACTGGCAAGGCCAAGCATACTTCCCCCTAGGCCTCCGGCTTCAAGACCCACATCAGCTTGATCTTGACGCATACGATTTCAGAACGCTCAAAAGAGCATCACTTCAGCTTCGCCTACTACAACAACTGCGGACTATTACGGCCTCCACACCTACATCGGCCAGCGAACAGATCCGAGATGGCTGGGAATTCCTTGAACAAGACCGTGATCTCTCAAAGCTTGACTACGAGGACTACCACACCAAACTGGTTTCAATGATCCCGCACTATCAGGAGACACTCCGAGAGATCCTGACACTGTACCGCCTATGGCTGTCAACCCCTCTGTCCGATGAGGACTTCCTGTGGGTGCGCAACCTGGTAGTGAATCAGCTTCTACCTAGAGACACTCTCCATCGCTACTTTGCTGACAGTCTCTGGCAACAAATACGACACAGATATGGAGGAGACCAAGGAGACCTCGAGCAGGCACAAGGAGTCATCACAATTCTTTCCCCGCTCCACGACCAGGTCTATGATGACTATAAGAACTTTGCTGTGGCGCTGACTCTGCTCCTCGTTCGACATCGTCAACGTCTGAAGCAGACGCTAGACGACAAAATTCGGGGCTAGAGACCGTCCGAGCACCATAGCCTTCCAAACGAGTGAGGTCCCCTCCTGTTCACTGCACTATCTTCCCAAATTGCGGGAAAAAGCGTGTAGCTCCGATCTTCCCATGCCAAGCCTCACTAAGCACAGCTCTCCTCGCAAAGTTTTCCCTCAGGTTCGCACGAGTGAGGTCCCCTCCTGGCGAACTTCCACCTAGGCCCATGGCAGACCTTCACCCCGTCCTCAGCCGCGAACAGGCAATGGAGGTACTTCTTGAGTCTCTTTTCCTACCGCTGCCGGTTTACCCTACAACTCCATCTGGCGCCGCCGCAGCGAGCAATCTGGACCTGGCATCCTCACGCACCCCTGCGGGGGAAGCGATCCCACACTTGAACCGCCAGATACGGATAGCTTCGCGCACTTGCAGCTTCTTGAAGCTGCTCGCGGAGAAAGTTCACCGGCACATGGGAGAGTTGCGGCTCTACCTTCCCAAAACTGCACCCCGAAATTTGGCCGCAAAACGGAAGCATGAAGAGATGATGCTGACAGAGCCTCGCTCTCCTACTCTGACGTACCATCAGAAGCGCCAGCTCCTCTTCATCTCTCAGGCGATTCGAGACTACACCAATGATGGTCCTGGCCAGAACTCCTTCCAGCTCGAAGATGCGGAGCCTACCACCCAGCGCATCTGGACGTACCTGACGCGCCACTTCGGCCAAGGTGAGGTGCGCTTTATGATTGCCAACGCCCTGTCGCATCTACACCTTCTCATGCGATCGTCAACTCCACGCCTACTCTCAGGCATTGAGCAGTCACAGCCATCGCATGCTCCAGGACAAGGCTCGGACTACTTCCCTGAAAATCTTCGTCTGCACGATGACAAGCAACTGGACCTTCAATACTTCGACCTGCAGGCGCTAAGGCGAGCCTCCACAGTATACCGGGTGCAGCAGCTGCTCAAAGTCTCTTCTTCCGCCGAAGGGGCATCGCCAGTTAAGAACGGATGGCGCTTTCAACATCAGGACCATCACCTCAATGCTTTGTCCTACAACCAACATCTCCTGGCTCTGCTGCCTCATCTTCCGCACTACCAGGACCAAATTCGCGAGGATCTGGTCACGTACAGGCAGTGGCTGCTTCGAGAGATCAATGCAGAGGAAGTTTCTTGGATTCGATCCATGATCACGGACACGGTGATCTCGCGAGGTGAACTACTGGAGCTCTTCGAGGATGCCCTGCTCAAGCAAGTCAACTCTGCATTTCGAGCTACTGCTGGCATTCCTAACCCTGAGGATCATTCTCAAGACTTCCAGAACAGCATGGCCCTCCGCTTCTATCAAATCATCAATCCGCTCTATGATGACATCTACGAAGAGCACAAGCCCTACGCAATAGTGTTCAAGATGCTCACCTCCTCTCATCGTAGACGGCTTCGGTCCCTCCTTCGAGCCCGAGAAGCTGCCATTCTGGCGTCCCCATATCGGACAACCAGCCTGGTTCCAGTATGCGAGTGAGGTCGCCTCCAGCAAACTGAACCATAGCATCCCTAAGTTCCTCTAGTCCGAATTCTGGACTTAATCGCACCTCCAGACCACTGCTCGCACTGCAGAAGAAAAGCCTCCATGCCTCATAATGCACAAGTGCCAGCCTGCATAGCTGATGCCCCCCAGACTCGGCCTGCCTGCCAGCTTGCCTGCTGAGGTTGAAGACCAATCTCGCAGAGACGTGTACAGAAGCGCAACCCACCTGGCTTGCAATGGCCAGGACATCGAAACAGACCAGGTCCCGAACGAGTAGGTCACTTAATTTTCACCCTCGATGCCCGCCAAGGTGTGGGACATGACCCGCACATGCGTTCGAAATGAAATGAAATGTTGTTGCTACGCAACTGGCTGGCAGCCCCGAAGCTTAGGTTTTCACCATGAGCCAAGGTCTGCGCAACGTCCGCTTAGTTTGTGGAGGTAGTACTCCAGCTTTTTGAGCCTTTTTGCAAGCTTGGTTTGAGTGTACCATGGCGTTGTGGCATGCCACGTGTTTTCTGAGACTGGGCACTTGTGCCAAAGCTATGTGCATTGGCTTGGGCTTGCAAGGGTTCAAGCAGCACCCGTTTGTTCTCGACGGTGTGCCCCCAGTCATGTCGACTGCACAGCGAAGCTGGCCTGTGGTGACACTCAAAGCCACACCCTCAGAATAGAACAAGTTGCAACTCGTGGGAGCATGCTTTTGACGCATGCTTCCGCAGGGAGACATGGGATGACATGTTTGTTTTCGCGTCAGTTCCAGCATAGTACATGTGTGATCAAGGTCTCTGCCCTGCTGCTCGCATTGGTAGGTGCCGAAGCGGCACGAGTAGGATTTGGTTGAGATTGATACGCTCTGGCATTGGCAGGTGTGTGTGGCATCTTTGCAAAATGCGCTTTTCCTGGCAGCCCGGTCATCCAATCTGCAGGCGTGGTCTTCATTTTGTTTGCCGTTGTGTTTGCCAGGAGCGAATCAATTGTCGGTCGGTATCGGACGAGAGTTGCGACTGCATGGCCAGTCCTTCCAGTGACAGTGGCATCATTCGTGAGCATTGATTGCTTTCTCCGTCTGCAGGCATCTGTGGAATAGGAGCATGATTTGCCATAAAGCTTCAGTTGGTACGAGACGTCCAGGACAATGCCCTCAAATTCGTGCGTCGTAGCGGATGAATGACAATCAGCTGCAGGCTACCAATAGTTGCCCACTTCGATATGGAGGTAGGTTTACAAGCACACATGATATGACCAGCAAGGCCTTTAATTGTTCATCTTTTGGCTAGCATGGCGCCGAAGAAGTTGCTCAGTGCAACAACTACGACATTCTCTCATACGTCGTCGCCTTAAATTCACTTGCGTTGTTTGGATTGTGAGCATGACATTGGGCCAGAATTGTTTTAAGCTCTTGTGTTTGCCAGGTTCTGTGCTGAAAATCCAAACAAGCTCGATGACGTGTATTCCGTTGCTTGGCTGAAATGCATGTTTGAGATTGATGTGCATGCTGAATGGTCTTGCATGTTGCAGGTCGAAAAGAAGCCTCTGGGAGAGGGCTCTTACGGGCAGGTTTGCAAAGGTGTGCATAAAGACACTGGAGCTGTTCGTGCCATCAAGGCTGTTGTGCTCATTTTGTCGATTGATTTGACATGACACACGCTTTGTTTTTCTGAAAGCCCTTCTTGCTGCCCTCAGGCCATCAACAGACATAAGATCTCCGACCCCGCTCGGTTCCAGGTGGAGGTGGATATACAGTCTTCCTTGGATCACCCAAACATCGTGAAACTATATGAAGCACCTCCTCAGCATTTTTTATGTTGTTTCTGTGCATCCGCGGATTGTAAGTTTGGTCAGACGAAACAGGGTAAAGAGTCAATAAGACGATACTAAGGTTTTCCAAGATGCAAAGCGGTTCTACCTTGCCGGGATCCCACAGCGCATCAACTGAACAGCGCTGCTTTAGATGCCACCGCTGTGCCCTAACAAGGTCATGGAGATCTGCTCCGGTGGAGAGCTTTTTGAGCGAATTGTAGCCGAGTCTGAAAAGCATGTGCCCTGATGCAGACTTTGGGGTGACAGCCGATTTGCTTTACGAGTTTAAGAGCTTTCGCACGGCTCTCCCAAGCCAAGCGCCTTGAAAGTTTACATGTTCAGGATGGGGCTCGCGCTTTTGATGAGCGCGGTGCGGCAACCTACATGCAACAGATATTGGGTGCCATGCGGCTTGAAGCAAGCAGTGGCGACTGTCGTGAAGTGTAGTTGCAGATTCACATCAAGTTGATTCATGAGTTGTTGCTTTGCTTGACAAGGAGCTACCTGCACAAGAACAATTTTGTCCACCGGGACATCAAGCCCGAGAATTTTCTCATGCAGAACACGGATGCCAACGCCGAGATTAAGGCATTCACATGTCAAAAGCATTCTTTGGCGAAAGCAGCTTGAAGGAATGTGCACAGAAACTTTCAATGACAGTCCCAATTTGCGATGCCCAGTGAGGGACGGTCGCTACCGAGTGGGCGGCGGCAGGTGATTGACTTCGGTCTTGCGAAGCACTTCGTTCCTGGCAGCGGGTCGTCCATGAAGACGCGAGCTGGCACTCCGTATTATGTGGCCCCCCAGGCTTGGCGGTTTGTTGCCCCTTGTGATCTTGTTTGGTTTAGAAGTCCGCATGCAAGGTGCTGAGCGGTGCATACGATGAGAAATGCGACATTTGGAGTTGCGGTGTGATCTGCTACATTCTCATGTGCGGTTCCTTGCCCAGCTTGGAAAGCTTGCTCGACTGCCGGCAGTTTCGTCGTGATGTCGGGAAAGTAAAGCATCTTAAGTCGATTTAAGGGATTTTCGTTTGTGTGCTTGCAGACGCAAGCAACCAGGTTATCCACCGTTCTATGGTGTCTCAGTTGCACGTATGGTTGTAGTAGTTAGAAAGACGAGATCGAAGATCATGTGAACAAGCCGTGTTTCAGGCGAGAAAGACAAGGAGATTCTTGCAATGGTTGCCTGGCCGCACCAGTGCCATTGACAACGACGATGCATGGAATATTGCTTCGACCTTTCAGCTAGTGCTCACCAAGCGTGCACAATGTACTTCGCCAGGTCAAGAAAGGAGAGGTCAAGTTTGATCCGGCTGACTGGTCCGACGTATCCAGTGATGCCATCGAGTTCATCAAGCTGATGCTGACCTACGACCCACGCCAGCTGCCTACTTTCTCGCAGACTGTTCAAGACTTTTTGTTAAGACGAAGTTGAGCTCTCTGATGTTCTCAGGCCAGAGGCCCACGGCCGCTACGCTTTTGACCCACAAGTGGCTCACGGCCTCTGTCAGCGCGCCGGTGGGGGCCGTGGCCAAGGCGGGTTTGTCAAAATCTTTCCAAACAAAGTGGAAAGTTTTTAAATGTTTTTCTTGCCCTCTCGCTCTCATTCTTCTCTCTCTCTCGTTCTCTCTCTCTCTCTCTCTCTCTCTCCCTCTCTCTCTTTCTTGTGCATCTACTTCTCAGTTATTGAGAAGGATTTGGGTCACAAGCTGAAGCGCTTCCAGAGCAACTCCAGGATCCCCGGTATACATTTCATGATTTAATGCCTGTGTGTGCTATTGGGCTTGGACGCGGCGGAAGATGCAGGATGAAGAAGGTGGCTTTGACCCTCATAGCTCAGCAGCTCAAAGACGATGATCTCAAGGATGGGTTGCATGGCATGCCGCGCTGTCTCTTCAGGGACGGATGCTTCCGCTACCAGGAGCTCCGAGACACTTTCATACAGCTCGACAAGAACAGGGATGGAACTTTGAGAGACTCAGCTTTGTTTTGCATGAGCCAGCACATTCATCCTCGCAGGCACGTTGAAGCTAGCAGACGCACCGAGGCTTAGAAGAGATTCAGACTGGCATGAGGACTGCAAAAGCAGACCTGCCAGATGACATTGTCGCATCCTGAGACATTCACGCCATATTCTTTACTATTCGCGTGGAACTCTCGATTGTCAGGTGCAGATAGTGAAGAACCTCGATACAGATGGGTCTGGAAACATAGACTATACCGAGTTCATGGCAGCTACGTTGACCAAGAAGCAGTACTTGAGGCCTAGGTTTCACTGAGCGTCATTCATGCGGGCTGGTTCTGCATGGGCAGAGAGTCCTCTTCCAGGCGAGAAGTGATGTGGGCGGCCTTCCGTGTCTTCGACACCAATGGTGATGGCGTCATTACCAAGGCTGCTCTATCCCGTTTCGCTTTTACCGCGGTTTGCGGCAAGTTTAATGTCTTTGTGTGTTAGTACATGCCTGCATGTGCATCGTAACAGTGGCGCGGTCTGGAGAAAACATGCAGGGAGCTGTGCGGAAGGAACAGTGCTCATGATGCTCTTAATTGGGAGCCCAATTGCCAAAACCAACCCGTGATTTGTGGGAAAAGCTGCTTGTTCGAAGCGTCCGCATAAGGGTCCAACGTGTTTCTGATTCCGCCCGCTCCTTGAGCTTCGGGCACAGACCGACGCTCATGATGCCACGCTTTGGCCACATGAACCATCATGAGAACGCCGATGGGGCGCGCCTGCTGCAGCCACGCGTGTGATGATGCTCCCTTTTCGAGCGGGGTTTCGAGCAACACGACAACGAAGATTTTCAGGATGTTTCGCACTTCTGGGCGTTCCAGGCCCTCCCCAAGCTGCGGTCTGCTCTTTAGGTCGCTGGTACTCATACGCGACTTGCAGATTCCACTCGGGGCTTCCCAAAAGGCGTCCACAAAAAAACAAACTCCCGCGCTGACAAGGAAGCCTTCCAAGAGGCTTCCCGGAGACTCCGTGAGAAGCCATGCATCCGTGATAATCAACGTGTTTTGATCCACTCCCCCGCCGCCGAGAAAGCCAGCATCATTGGCAGCCATGCGTGTCTTGAAATGCACGAAACCGACCATGACTATGATGTCTCTGGCGCGGGCGTTGACCGGTTTTTTGGGCAGGACGCGGTCCGCAAAAGGAGGATCAATGGTAAGTCGAAAATCCTTGGATCATCCTTCTTGAAGTGGGAGGTGGGGCTGCCGTCCCCCCCCCTAACCCGCCTGCTTTATATCGAAGGACATGCTGTATTCCTGTTGTATTGCAAGATGGAGGGCGTGCCTGCATTATCCTGCTTGCGAGGAACTAGGGCTGCAACCCAGAACGCCAAATCGACACGAGCCCCCTCTCCCCTCTCCCTCCCCCCCTCCCCCCCCCCCCCCCCCCCCCCCCTCCCCCCCCCCCCCTCCCCCCCCCCCCCCCCCCCTCGACTCGCAACCTTTTGTTTTCGGATAAGGATACCAAGGATTTTTCTTGTCGTACCGGAAATGGATGGGGAGACGTGGTCGCTAGACTTTGTTTGAGAACAGCAGTTGTCCTATTGACACACAGAGGAAACGGAGGTTCTTCGCTTGAATGCAGAGGAAAAGAGGTTTTCCCATTAAATGCCAGGGGAAACAGAATGACATACGGACGAAGTGGAAGTGTGCCTATTAAGATCTCGAGAAACTACCGCTTGTTCTTCTCAAATAGGCAAAAACGACAACAAAAGGGGCAACAGCAATTCCAAGCTTTGTATCGAAAGGACGAGCTGGCGAAGATTCTGAAGGCATCTTAGCTTGTGAGCACAGGCGACAGTCCAGTGATTTTGATGCTTAGTACAGTGCATCCGCAGGAAGAGGACAACATGGCCTACATCGAGAAAATGGTGCAAGATGTCGATTTGGATTCCAATGGCGAGATCAGCGACTCGACGCAGTGCAGCGCTGTCGGCCGTTTCGACATAAGCTCGTGGAACAGCAGTTGTTTAGAGCTCCAATGTTGGAGTGCTTTCGGGTATGTGGCCTTGCAGTGAGGCTTTGATGAGTTCTGCAAGATGATGGAGAAAGATTCTGCAGGAATCCTGAGTGGAGCAGCGCAAGCAGAAGACAGGATGTTACCTGAAGTGTAGGCGGCAGGCGCAGGTTTCGTCGTAAACATGATCCAACAACAAGTTTGTAAATATGAAAGCATTCTAGCAAGATGTTAAGTTATTGTGCCAAGTGTGTACTTGCTGCATCAATGTTATCAATGGCGAAATGTAGCAGAAGCCTGCATCCTCAATGGGTAGGTGCATCGTTTGGTCTCACTCTCCACTCCCCATTTCAAGACTAATGAGAATGATCTGAGCAGCTGAAAGCCTCATGTTGATTCAGGCAACACCTGCGAGCTTTGTCGTGCGCTTTCCTTGCTGCACGAACAAGAACTGACCGCGACAATGCCAAAAGGAATGCCATTCCTCAAAGTGCCCCAGAGCGCCACTGGTGAACGCCTGCACACTGAGTTTGGCTGTCCCTAGATTGTCGCAGGTCTTTCTGACACCGTTGGCGCGTGGGAAGTCAACAGCAGCGGATGGCACAGAGCAGTGCCGGAGCCTGAGTGTCTCAACGCCTAGATTGCCTGATCATTGTGTGGACTAGCTCGCAGATTGCAAGAAACATGGCAAAGTCACTGAGGCTCAATACTCTTATTCGGCAAAATGAGAGCTTGACATCTCCAGTAGTTGCCGCCTCGGAACGAGCTGGGAGAAATGAGGGAAACAGATCTTGAGAGCATGTCCTCATTGAACTGCAGCACTTCTGACGCGCCTCAACAACCGGTACCTTGCCAGAACATGCAGAACAACAAGGTCCTTGTGCCACAATTCTTCTCTAGAAGTTGAATTCGACCGCATGTAAGTCCTCACGACGCGTTGATGAAGAGACGGGTTGTGCGGTACAGTAGCCAAGGTGGAGTACGAACTTGGATTGTGACCAAGGTGCAAACGGTTCCCATGGGCATGTTCGTCCACGTTCTCGCCAAGCATGGCAGAAGGGCCCTCCGCTGAAAGTTATAAGTTCTGGACAAAGTTGCTCGGTTGGAGAATCTCTTCCCATCGAGGTGAAAGTTAACTACCCAGCTCCTGGATGGTGTCAAGCTCAAAAGCAAAAGCAAAGCTGCTGTGCTGCTGGGATTTGGTGGGTGCTTGCCGTCTGCGGAAACCAGGACATCTGTGAAGTCGGCAACTGGGGAGGCAATCCTCATGTGGGATGATCCTGAAGGCTTGAACATGACCATGCCTATGCCTTCCATCAGCCGCCTTGCGGGGACACACTTGCGGGGACACATTCGAAATTCTTGGTGACTTGCAGCCCGGAACAAGAACGTCTGGGACTTGCCACAGCATGAGCGCAACGCAGTCTTGGAGGCTCGCGAGGCCGGATGCCCAGGAGCAAGCGCGCTGCGGGATGTGCAACTGATTGGCAACACCACTAGACAAACACCACTAGACAGGGACATCGTTCATGTCGTCTTCGCAACTTGCTAGCATGCTTTGGCTTGTGTTGAGCTTGTGAAGTCTTGGAGGTTCTTCGACTCAATGTGTACAAGCAGAAGCAAGCGACGCATGATGACATGCTGAGGCGCAGCAATGCGCAGCAGGGAGCTGACGAATTACATCGAACTGCATTAGGCTTTATTCGCTCGGTGCCAGGAAGGGACTTACGTCATTGGTGAACAGGTCGGGATGACATGTATGCATGCCACTTGGTCACTGCAGAGTGCAAAGGTACAGGAGTGGAGAGCTCCAGAAATCTCTGGAAAAAGCTCTGAGCCCTGATGGTATCCAGTCATGGACTTAAAGAAGTTTTGCCGACAACGTTGCTGTCAACTTGAGAGACAAGTAGGGTATAGATATGTATAGATGATGAAGATCGCCATGCCCGAGGAAGATCGAAAATTCGGTCGAGGACAGCATCCAAAATGTGGCGAATTCGACCCAGAAGGCTCGTTGCTGTGTGCATGTCCGACTTGGTCGGAGTGTTGCAGAACCTGAATGAATGGTTCACCCACTCGCTTGATGGGTTCACGTCCTGTGGTAGGTGCTGCACGCCTTGACTGAAAACAGCACGCGCGTGTCCGCTACTTTGGAGCCACTCGGTGTCCTGCAAGTGAGAAGTGCCCTGGATGCTCAGGAACACTACCAAACTTGCAGCAGAAGTTCATCGAGACGAGGCCCTCATCCGCAAGCAACAGCAGCTAGTCGGCAAAGGTCGGCATTGGGTGGGAGCTGACATGCACTGACAAAGATCAAATTTAGATTGCCGTGCTGAGGCAAGAATGGCGACAGGCAGGGCATGCATGGTCCGAAACTGCATGGTGACGGCCACACTTTTTTTTGGTGTTTTGGTCCTTGCTCGCCCTCCACATGCACTGCAGCATGCCAGCTCCCCCGTCTTTTTCTGACAATTGTTCTGCCTTCCTCGTATGTTTTGAGAAGCTGGTCCACCATGCCATTCATTCCAACGTGCACGTGCACACGCGTACGATGCCTACGTCATCCTGTCCGTAAGGACCTCTTTTGGTATGTGGAAGGAGGTATAAGTGGGTTTTCTCCAGAAGTTGCTTCTCCTTCCTCCGGTGCTGCTATGCTCATATGCTGAATGCAGATGCCTTGTTCACCCTGTCTATATGCAGTGGTTCGTCAGTTTCAAAGCTACCAGCCTGATCCCCCGTGGCAGGCTAAAGCAAGCAAAGTAACGAGCTAGCCTGCCGGAAGTGAGTATTCTTGCATTTCTTGCACCATCGCAGGATCACTAAGTTGTTCCACGGAATCTCACCACTTGTACCCACAAGTAACTGCAAGAACCTTTCTCTGCGAGCAAGAAAAAGAGCTGAGCGCGACATGCATTTTCACAGGTCAAAGCTCGATGGTTTCAGCATGTCAACATGTGAAGGTGTTGTCGCGCGCTGGCTTGACTTTTGGTGGCTCTCTGGCAAGCTCACATGGCATCTCCCCTCCTCTTCCAAACGAGCTGGAGCAGTGCAGGCAGCCGTTAGAGTCTGAGTGAAAGCTGGGTGTAAACATTTCCGAGCAGCCCGGAAAAAGAGGCCCTCCGGGGAAGAGGCGGGCCTTGCTGCCCTGGCCTGCAGTGGAAGGGTCCTGACCCTAAACGCTTGAATGCTCCATGAACGTGCTCCGTGCATCTCTGTGCCTCTCCGTGGGCCACGAAATCAACTGTCTTGGCGTGTAATTGTATTGATGGAAAAGAGGCCTTCATAAATGGTGGCAATGAGACAGCTCGCATCTCAGCAACTTAGACTTAGATCCTCCTGATTCACAGCTCTTGTGTGCTGTTCTTTGACAGGAAGCAAAATGATGGCAAGTTCTTCCAAACTACAAAGCGCGGCGAAATTCAGGCGTGAGCAGTGTGCTGATGGAGTTGGTGAGCGTTGAGCACGTGGAAATTGTACGCTGCGCATTGGAGCCAGGAGCTCAAAGAAGAACTCCATGCAAATGACAAACAGAAGCAGAAAGATGCCGTCAAAAAGGCTTGGGTCCTGGGTTCACAGCCATGGCAAAGCAAATTTGGTGTGGGAGCGTCCGCGCAGGTCATTGCCAACATGACGGTTGGTAAGGATGTGTCTGCCCTCTTTGCAGATGTGGTGAACTGCATCCAGTTGCGTGCTTAAGCGATCGGAAAACTATGGATAACATGCATGATGAGTGCATGTCCAAAGAGTCCGTCAGCCTGAGGGTGCCAGCACCAAAACCACAGAGCCACATAGAGCCACACCGATGTTCAGTTGGCCGAGGACAGACAATATTGAGCTGAAGAAGCTCGTTTACTTGTATGTCATGAACTATGCCAAGGTGTGAGCCTCGGCTTGGGCGCTTTGCGGTAGCTGCACCAATGGTAGAGTGAGGCGCAGCCAGAACTTGCCATTCTTGCCATCAACACCTTCAGAAAGGCAGCCTGTGCTCCGGAAGTTTCAGACACGGAAGGGAAGTGAGCAGAGCTTCGGCTAGGATGCTACAGATCCAAATCCTTTGATCCGCTCTCTAGCTGCCTGCAGCCCAGCCTCCTTGAGTTGATGAGCAGCGCATTTGGAAGTGCAGTGGACTTGTGAGGTCCGGACGATGGGCTGCATTCGGCTCGACCAGGCTCACAAGCTGCACAAAGGCTCACACATGTACATTGCAACAAATTGAGAGACACTGGCAGGTCACGGAGTACTTGCTGGAGCCTTTGAGAAGATGTTGCCAGGCGCGGCCTTCGCTGGAGCTGTTGCAGTGTAGCTTTGTTAGCTTTGATGCATGCCTTGGCCAGGATCAGGACCCTTATGTCCGGAAGACCTCAGCGATATGTATTCCGAAGGCTGGGCTGATGCTTATCCTATCCGATGCACAAGTCTGCTGTAACTGTGCTGTGTAGGTGTACGACATCAACCCGGAGCTCGTGGAAGACCAAGGCTTCGTGGACATCCTGAAGGCTAAAGTGGCTAAAGCGCACAGCACACCGACACCAACAGCCGTAGCCACCATGAGGCTCTTTCAGATCTGAATCTCGGCAGGACCTCCTCGGAGACGGGAACCCGATGGTCGGCTCTTCAGGATGCTTCGGATTCGTTCATCTTCGCTTCTAGCCGTATCGCCCCTTCTAGCCAGTCCCAAGCTGAGGTCGTGGCCAATGCGGTTGCAGGGCTCGCAGAGATCTCCCAAACCTGCGGCAAGGACTTGCTAGATCTAGACAAGGCTTGGCAGGGCTCGTGTGAAGTTGCTGCTCCTTGTGCAGTATGTACGCTCACCTGGCAGGGCAACATCCACAAGCTTCTAGCAGCCCTCAACGAATGCAATGAGTGGGGCCAGGCCAGGAGACCCTCTCGAGCACGTGCCCAAATCTGAGGATCAGTGGATGCTCGGTGCATGTGCACAGGTGTTCATATTGGACGCAATCGCCACTTACGGTCGGGGGCTTCAAATCTCTTAACCCTCAAGTGGTGGCAGTCGGCTTCTGGAAAACTGTCCTGAGAACCGTCTGGACCCAACGACTCCGAGTCCATCACGGAGCGCGTCACCGCAAGGACCAACAAAATCGATCGACAATCCTGCACAGTGGCAAGTCGCAGTGGCAAGTTGCAGTTCTTAAGGGTTCTTGATGTTTCTTCTAGTTGCAAGGCTCTCCCACGCGAATCCCGCTGTGGTCATCGCCGCCATTAAGGCCATCTTTCCTCCTGGTAATGAACCTTCCAATTTCATGCAGTTTCAGCTTGCAGCCTGCCTTGTGGCAGGTGATCCTCAGATGTATGGAGCACATAGAGAATTCAGAGGACAGAAGATGAGTGTCTGCAAAAAACAGAGATTTTTTTCAGCTGGAGCTGCTTGTCAGGTTTTGCGCCTGCTTGCCAAAAAGCTGAACCCTCCTCTGGTCACGCTGCTCTCCAGCGAATCAGAGGCTCACAGCATCTTCTCTTGAGCTGGTGAGTTGGATGCTGGAGTGAGTGGATGTTGGATCTCTGCAAACTTGGGAGGTTCAGTATGTGGCCCTGCGCAACATCCGATTGATAGCTGGCTGCCCTGCGTACTGTGCTTGTGAAGGCGCGATATGGAATCTGATGTAGAAGCGTTTGCTGAGGTGCAGAAGAGGCCTGGCATTCTGGCCTCGGATGCTCCATGGCGCCATTCAGTTTTGTTGGATGCGCTGTAGCATTTGAATCAAGCCTACGTTTGTTTCGCTGGGGTCATGAGGTGAAGATGTTCTTCTGCAAGTACAATGATCCCATCTATGTCAAGCTGGAGAAGGCCACTCTTTGACATGAACCCAAGATCCAAGCTATGCACGCCTCGGCCCCCTTGCTGTCTGCTATATGATGTTTGCCAATGCTGGGCAGCTCTCCAATTGCCAGGTTGACATCATGTGCATGCTTGTCAGCGACAAGAACTTTGACCAGGAGAGCAATGTGACATCGACTGGCAAGCGCCTTTTCAACAAGCTTTAAGAGTGTACTTCGCAGGTGCTTCTGGAGCTGAAAGAGTATGCATCCGGTCGGGTTCTCATACTCAGCAGGTAACTCGAGGATACCCATGTGGATGCTTGTGTTTCGTGAGGTGTGGATGTTGAGTTTGTGCGGAAGTCCGTGCGATCAATTGGTAGAGTTGCCGCCGCTTGGCTTTTCTAGCAAGAGATAGCGTGTCGGATTCTTGCCGCATGCTTGCCACATTGTTGTTACCGTGTTTAGCGTGGTCGCGGTCAGGTCAAGTTGGAGCGTGCCTGTGAGCGGGCCATCAATGTATTGCTAGAGCTGATCGAGACCAAGGCAGGACCAAAGGTTTCCCTGCGCAAGTTCCCATGCCCAGCTGATCTTAGCATATGGAGAGGTCAACTACGTCGTGCAGGAGGCATGTGTGGTTGTCAAGGACTCGGAACGACGCTACTGTTTGCACAGGCGTAGGACAAAAGTGAGAAGACGAGTCCTGTTTGCACAGCTCGAATTATTTTGATGGTCAGGACATCTTTCGAAAGTATCCTTCTCGCTATGAGCAGGCAGTTGTTGTTGCGGTCGTTGCTTAGAATGTGTTTTGTTTCGAGTGCATCAGTCCATTGATTGATGATGGCCCTTCGGTATCCTTCGGTATTTTCCTGATTTTTGCAGGTCTTGTCTGCCCTCTGCGAGTCCATGGAGGTGCTGGACGAGCCAGAAGCCAAGGCAGGAAGCTGAGTTAGTGAGTTGTACAGAGGTTTCATGACGTTCGCCAGGTTTCGAAGGCTGAAATTCACATGAGTGTTGAGACATGTTGAGACATGTTGAGACACCGCAGGCTTCCATGATTTGGATCCTTGGTGAGTATGCTGGCAGGCGAGAGCAAAGCTTGGACTTGATGCTCTGATTCTGCAGGGTAACCTCTGGCAGGATTGACAATGCCGATGAATTGCTAGAGTCTTTCCTGGACACGTTCCATGATGAGCCGCTCATGGCATCGACCCCATGAAAGAGTAGCAAGTGATCAGAGTAGGATGAATCTCCAAGCCGGACGCTCTGTGAGTGAGGTCCAGGTCCAGCTCTTGACTTCGATTGTGAAGCTTTTTCTGCAGACCCTTGGCGGAGAAAGCTCTCTTAGACGACAAGTGAGTAAAGTGAGTGAAGCCTATCAGATCCCTCGGCCAAGGAAGCCTTCGTCCACCCAAGACATGGTGTCCAAGGTGCTGAAGTGCGCCACCGAGGCCAGGTGAAGTAAGTTGAGAGAGCAGCATGATATCAAGGGAGCGACCGCAAACATCTTGCAGGAGTCCACCAACCATGATCTTCGGGATAGAGGCTTCATCACTTTTTTGTACTCCAAGCTGCAACTCTCGTCTTTACATGCAGGATACGTCTACTGGCGATTGCTGTCGACGAACCCCGAAGCCACAAAAAGAGTGGTGGAGCCCTTGGAGCGGGCGATGCTCCTATGCGTTGAGGTTAAGATGCAGCTCAGGTCCTTGGCGACAAGCCATCGATTCGGGATGACTCGCAGGCTTCCGAAACTGTGCCACGAAAGTCGGACAAAGAGGTTGCCTGAAGTGGCTGAGCGAAAGGCGTAAGGGTTAGTGAGATGCTTCGCCTGTGAACAGGGTTTTTCGGCGTAGAATGCTTCACTGGCACCTTGGGGATGGGTACAGTATGGATGGGTAGATTCGGGCATATGTCTGATCATGTTCGTTGCTGCCAGTCGCTTGACAAAAACTTGCTGGACAAGCTCAACAGCGAGCTTTCCTTGATGAGCAGCGCTGGGGACCTTGATAGCGTGGGGATTTTGCAGGTTTCTTGCGTGCAGCAGATGTTAGTGGAGCACAGAAGAAGTTATTGAATAGCTGCACCGCGTCAGGTTTATCACAAGTATCCTGAGGAGTTTGTGACTAGGTCCAGCTGCCAGACATCTGTGTGAGGGTCGTCACTTTGTACTGCAGTTCCTACATGAGGGCTCGATCCTCGCAGGCTGACTCTGGCAACCACCACGTCAGCAGATGACAAAGCAGCACAGGACAGGGATGGCACAGAGAGCGGGAAGACTCTTGACAGATGCTTCATGTCACTTTTCTCAGATCAGTCTCAATTTCAAGGACGACGACTTCGATGAGGAGGACCGGCAAGCAAGGCGACGGGAGGCTCAGCGACGGGAAGCTTCGAGTTCTACCTGACCGCTTTGGAAAACCTATCTCACGTTTTTGAAGGTTCAGGAGGAGCTGGAACGAGGTCCAGATTCCTCCAGGCCATGAATCGAGGGAGGGATTTGTTGGGGCCGGCTTTTATGCAGTTTGTGACCTTTTGCGAACCTTGGGGGGGCCGCATGCCAATGCATACCGGAACCTGCTTGAACGGAACTTCTAGGATCATGAGAAACTACAGCGTGCAGGAATGGAACCTCCGCAGGAGGTGGTGGGCGCTGTGCCCAGTATTTGCCAATTTGGCCATTACTGACTCTTCTCCTCACAGAGCAGGTGGTAACGAGGCTTGACGAGATGTGCAGGTTGGACCTGCTCGACCTCGGCGGTGTTGGTGACGACAGCCCTGGAACACGCAACGCAAGATCCTCGGCAAGGATGGGGACAAGGCAGAGTGCTACATGCTTTGCCCCAGGCGCCCGCTCAGACGCTGCAGAAGGTGGCAGTGCTGCCATCAACGCAGCCAGGCTTCCGTGTTTCTGTGTTCTGGTTTCGTGGTTTCGGACATGGCTGACATGCTATGACTGACATCTTCTGCTTTGCAGGGCAGCATGGCAATCAGGGCTTCGCTGTTTCTGCAGCCTTCACAAGACAAAGGCCACGCGGAATATGGCATGTGGGCTTGATTCTTGATGAAAGTCCAAGAAGAATCCGAGCGCTCCTCGGCTTCCAGGGGAACACCGACACTCCTCATGACTTTCTCCAACAGCAGCCCTGGGACATTGAATGGCTTTGCCATCCAGGCTGCGTCCGGGCTTTGTGCAGCTTTGTGCCAAATGGACCGACCCCCCTCGACCCAACAAACACACGGTGGTGTAGCAGGTGAACAAAAATCCGTTTGGCTTCGCTCCCAAAGAGCAGTCAGCATCCCTGCTCCCAGTTCTCCACTCTGGCAACGGCCAGTCATCCTAACGTGACTGGCATCCCGAGGCTAGCATGTCCAGACATAAGTCCGGGATCATCTGCCGAGGCGGGTGCAGTTCCTTCGGCAGTTCACTTCGACTGCACGACAGAGTCACCAAGTCGGACTAAGTCGGACTAAGTCGGACTAAGTCGGACCAAGTCGGACCAAGTCGGACCAGTTTTGATGTGGATGGAAGGTTTCTGTAGCCATGGCTCCCGGCCAGCTAAACAGCCGCACACTCAGATATGAAGAACATAAAGTGAGCACTGGTGAAGACAGAGCTTGAAACTACCGAAGCGCGCCGTGAAGAGCGCCACTGACCGGCTGTTGACAGGCAACACTCCACCAAGCCACCCCCTTTTACTCCAGGCCTCGGAGATTTTTAGAGATTTCCTGGGGTTCTCGCCCATTCAAGACACGATTTCTGCCTTCGCTCGCCTCTCCACGCAGGTCGCAATCAAAACATCACTTGACATTTTCTACTTTCACGTCCAGTTCGATCTCTCAGTTCTGTCCTCAGTAGAGGTGTAATTGTGGCTCATGTTTACAGAGCTCTCTGCCAAGGCGGTCTTGCTGGAGAACGCCGCCCTAAGCCGGGACGAGTTCACACCAGTATGGCAACGGGTCCTGCCCTTCGCATGTCTGCTGTCGTGATGGTGAATGCTATGTTATGCTGGGCCACTGTTTCTGAAGGTGGGTGAAGCAGGTCAGAAAGTTTATTCGATCAGTATCGACAGACCCTTGGACGTGGAGTCGGTCTGAGACCCAGATGATCAATGCGTTCCAGGCCCAGCAATTGACGTGATCACCAGGTGAAAAGCCGACTTTCCCTCGATAATGTCCACTATGTCGCACAGCGGCAGGCGGTTGGGGAGCTATGGTGGATGAATGTCAGAACGACCGTGTTAACTTTCAGGTTGATGATGGCTCAGTGCTGCTGTACACCTCAGCACAGACACTGAACAATTGCCTCTCGGCAGCTCAAGTCTTTGCCAAATCTATCTTGGCGGTCCGGCTTGTTGTGAGCGGTGCAAGGTACGGTTCTCTCAGAAGTCACCGTCAGCACGGCGCTTGGTGTGACATGCCAGCCTACGCTGCAGGTCGTGGTAGTTGTAGCACAGAAATTGGAACGGCAATTCAGCACGTCAGGTCCTGGTAGCAACAGCATCAAGGTGGCTACTCGCAGATGGCTTATCGTTGACGGTGATGGTCTGCTTATGCGGGGGCCGAAGATGCGACCGAGGAACGGAGACGCAAGTGTTGGTACCTCTGTATGAGGCCATGCTGAGCAAAAGATTTGCTAGTGGCTAGCCGAGAGGAGGTAAGCTCTTAAGCTCGTTTCCAACTTGAGGTCGACACAAGATGCTGGCCTTGTGGAAAAAGTTGTGCTAGGGAGACCTCTTTCTCGGCCCTGTCACGTGTCTGTTTGGAGTGTCCGGTCCCGGACTGACAACCATCCACGGCTTTCTGCATAACATCCCATGCTGGGAACCAGAGACTGGTCTGGTGCCTTCACCGCCCCAAGTACCCGCTAGTTGCCCATTTGGGTGGCCCGGGCGCGTGGAGATTGCTTTGTTTGTTTACTTGTGCCCCTCTTCCGCAGAGACTCGCTCATCATCGACGTGGCAACTCAAGTTGTTGTAGTTTCCATTGGCTTCGGAGTTTTGGCCGCTTTGCATCGCTTTGTCACACCTTGCTCGCCGCTGCCATGGGCTACGGTAAAAGCAGCAGTACAGCTAGTGCAAAACTTTTGATGCTTTCAGTTTCAGTATCTAGCTCTGATAGCCTCCGTTGCACTCGTAGCTACGAGAAGCTCACAAGAGACCGCCAAGCCAGCAAGCCCTTCAAAACGCCGCGTGGTTCCCTTGTGCATTGCGGGTAGCTTTGCGCGTAGCTTCTTGCTTCTCTCGTCCGCTTTCTCGTTTGCCCAGCTGCCTGCATGGCGCTCGCCGAGGCTCCGGTTTCCTACAATGCGGACTCATGAAAGCTTTGAGTCTGCACAGCCTAGCAGCAACATGTAGCAACCCTCAACTCTGGAAGGGCTCTGCCCCTGGTGTGCCGCTGGCGTTGCCGGTTGCCAGGCCTTCGCATCAAACTCACATGTTTTGAGAAGTTTTGGCAAGTTCCTGCTGGAGGTGGAGGGTGCTACGTGCTCAAGACCCAGTTGGCAGGTCTGACCCACAGATGGGTTTCCAAAGTATTCCAGGCTTTGGGAATCGTGGTCTCGGGTAGGCTGAGGATCTGTGGCCGCATGTGCGTTACTGTAGTGCTCAAGCTTTAGATGCCCAGCGCAGGCTCGCCCCAAAGCTTGGGCGGGCAACGCGAGAAGCTCCGGACCGAGGCCAGAGCCTAGCCCATCAAATAGCCGAACGACCCAAACACACAAGGTATTCATTCTGCTGCATGTTATTTTGCAACATCCTACAGCACTTTTTGACAGTCCCAAACCAAGGTTTGCCATCATCAGTCCTTGCTGCTGGTGCCACAGCTGTTGCTGCAGGCATTACAGCGAAGAGGTGGCTCTGCTTGAAAGTTGCGCACGATTTGCACGCTAAGGCTTCTCGAAGGTCAGCGAAGGTTTCTCGAAGGTTATCGTACAATGAGGTAGACGTCGCTTCACCAAACTTGGGTCTGTGACTCGACGACGGGGGCCCGTGGGGCATGCACCTTGTGGGAATACGCCAGCGCTCTTTGAGCAGAGCCACGCTGTCGAATCAGAAAAAAATGAGAAGAGAAAGCGGCACTGAACCACACCTTTGTTGTTTTTTGCGCACTTCTTCATGGGATGGTTCGGTTCAATCGACTCACAAGGCACGAGATGCAACTACCTGCACGTTTCTCCCGCTGTCACCACGCAAGTTTTAAGAGTTTTTTGGAGTATATGAGAGTTGTCCTCCATTTTGACAGAGGCAGTCTTGATTTCGGACTTGCTGAATTTCGCTGCAAGGACACAATGCTGTGCCTCAACTTTGAATTTCCCATTCTGAAGTTTCACAAATGTCGTCCACATGTGTTTCTGCATATCTGGAAAGGAGCCATCAGTGAGATCGTTGTCTTAGATTTCTAGCAACTAAAAGGGTCGCACAATGCAGCCCCACCTGGACAGGCGGACAGCTGGCACGCGGGCTGCTGCTGTTGCAACGAGGGTTCCCCATCCGGGTGTGTTGGTTTGGGGCTAAAGCTGGGCTTCAGAGCTGAGTAAAATTGGAAGGATGGTGGAGATAAGTAGCTTTTCATGTTAGAGTCAGAGGTCTGAGCTGACAATTGAGAGTTGGTGATCGGTTTTGTTGGACTGGCTTCGCTTTGACGTGAGGTCTGCTTTGCCGGGTGTGGGTTGGCAAGAGTTATCGGTGAGCTGACATGCTTCAACACCAATTAGCCCTCGGGAGCACGTGATGAGGCATCTGTTTCACGACATCACACAAAACAAGACTGACAAGACATCGCGGTTGTCGAGCCATGGACCTGCCCTGGCCGGTGTACCTTGCACATGTTCCAGAACACTTCCTAGCCTTGGGAAGACTTCACCTACTTCACGTACTCGATCAAATTGAGCAGCTTGGGCGTGCAGCAGAAGCTAATGGACGACGCGGCCAAGCTCAACTTCATCAAGTAGCTGCTCTATGTGTGGCTGTATTGAGTGGTGTCACTGCTGGGGCGCTGTTTTTCCTGGGCTTACTGGCGCTCAGCAGAGCTTTCACGTCTCTTGCTGTTTCATTGTTTCTCTGTTCTGGGCGTTTGCTGCAAGCGGCAACGCCGCACCTCACAGCCCTGGGCCTCATTCTGTATGCCAACCGCTTATTGAGAAGCTCATTGCTTCGTCAGGAGTGGCTTGACTTCTGGCAACAGTGGACTTGGTCAAGGCAGCTTCTTTCATTCTTGGGTTTCAGTGTTGCGCATGTACAGAGCACAGAATGCCCGATTTGTGCCAACTCTTTGGAAGACAATCCATGGAACTTAGCAAAGCTTCCATGCTGCGAGACATCCGTTTGTTGGGAATGCGTGTGGAGCCACGCAGAGAGTGTCATCGACGACGCACGTCCACAGATGACCTGCCCCTTGCTGTGCAATGGCAATGGCAATGGCAAGGTGTTGCCGGATGTCGTTGTGTTCACCTCTCTGCGGCGACGTCAGTGGTCTTGGAAGGGTTTGGACCTGCTTGGACGCCAGACTCGGCGCAAGAAGCGGGCTTATGAGCGTTGGAGCCTTTCAAGCGGCCTGGCATCTAGCTGTGCGGCACGAATGGAAGACGTCATCCACTGCCCGGGAAGCGAGTGCAGTCACATGTGGGTTCTCCCAAAGGCTCTACGATCAGCCAAATCAGCCCAGGCCACGTGTGCATACGTGTGCCAAAGTATGCTAAAGTCATCCCTGAGCCGTGCATGTGTTTGTCAATGTTCGTCATATTCTTTTGGACTCATATGCAGGAACCTGGCAGTCGCTGGGATCCGCGAGCATGGTCTGTTGGCCGGCATATGGGCTTGTATGCACCACCGACAGAAGACGGGCACGATGGACGCTGCGTGAGCTGCCCGGGCTGCAAGATCGACTACTGCTTGCTTTGCTCCCAAGTGCCACAACTGCACCAGTAACTATGTACCGCATGTTTTGTTTGGCAGGGAGACACAGCAGCGTAACGCAACATTCTTGAACCTAGAGCTGCTAGAGCTTGCTTAAACGAAAGCTTCTAGGTTGCCCAATGTGAGGTGTGGGAGGCGCATGGGAGGACCCACGAGGGAAAATCTTGCCTGGAGTTCGACGCTGTGCTGCCCGAGGCCCAGCGTTCAAAGGATCGCCACTGGGCCGGGGCAAAGTCGTGTCCTGGTTGCGGAGTTCGCACCTTGCGCGCCATGGGCTGCAATCACATGACGTGTACTCAGTGTCAAATGCACTGGTGCTGGGTCTGTGGCAAGCCCTGGCAGCCTTGGCACTATGGCTGCACGCAGAATGCACAGACCACTGGAGACTGCTCTGTCATGTAAAAGGATTCAAGTATGCACATGACATGCCTGGACACCTCACATTGTTGCTGTCTTTGCTGTCGCACTCGCCAGGTGCCGAAGACTCAGGATGCATCGACGATTTTTGAAGACCTGTTCCAGAGGCTGGTTTAAAAAAGCAGTTTGAATGGAGACAATCGCCGTGCATCCGAGGGAGAGCAGGACCTAATGGAGAGACACAGTTGCGCCTTTTCACTGTTCAGCTAGGAGTGCAGTACTGCCCATCGAGAAGAGACAACATGAAAGTCAACAAGAACCAAAGCAGCATGCAACAGAGCGAGAACACAAACGCAAGCAGTCGAACAAACGACAACAAGGTTGAAATGCAAGAACACAAGCCGTGTGTGCTTTGTTGTCTTTCGCGAGTCGTTGTTACATAAGATTTTCGCGGATTTTTGGGACTGGAAGCTCAGGCTTTCAGGCTTGTCCCGATACCATTCCCCCTGTCATTCTTTTATCTCTTTTGTTTTCATCTATTTTTTTTTGGGGGGGGGGCAGCAGGGGGTCCAGGAAGTTCCATTTCTCATCCCGCAGAATGCAGGGTGGGCAGAGCCAGGAAGAGCATAGCATGATTGGACCATTTCGGACGATTTCTGGTTTGTTGCATGCGTTTCCAGGATATACCTGCAAAAATCAATTCTGGATTAAGTCCGCCCCCGACGAGCAATGAACTCAGATTTAATTCCACAGAAAAATGTGGTTAATGGCGAGGTCGCAGAAGACTACAGGGCAGAAGCGCCATAGTGAGATGTGGCGAAACCGTGCAATAAACGCGTGCCAACCAGAGCTTGCGCAGGTCCAACCTCGCTGGGCGTGTGCTGGCCAATCTTCCTTCAGCGGTGCCCATGCCGGTGCGGTTGCCGGGAAATCGTGCTGCAAGAGATGTGGGTTTTGAATTCCGACGCTCTCAGATCCTGAGCGTTTACACCGCGTTGCCTTTGCTTGCTGTCCTGGCTGCTGCTGTGTGCCCAAGGCACTGGGCTGTTGTAGCCTTGCGACGCTTGATCAGAATGTCACTGCACGCGCTTCTCAGGCACACGAGACTTGCTCAGGGCTTGGCAAGTGCACTGGGCTGCCTTCTAGGCTTTCGACGGGCTGTTTCTTCCAAGCTGTTGTGTTGGAGCTAGCTACCACGCGTGGTAGCTCACGGGAGGCACTCTTGTTGGCGCATTCCTGAAGCAGGGCAAGAAGGCCGGATGCCGACTCTTGCTGGATGTTCTTACCTTCGGCAGTGGTCAGGAATCTTTACAACGTCTCTTACCGACTCTTAGCACAGGATGCGGCAAGCTGCGCCATAGCCCGACTGCTCTCCAAGCACATCCAAGAGGCTCGTGAGGGGGGCAGTCGCGTCGCTGCTGTGCACAGGGTAGATTGTCCCTTGAGCCTCGCCCTAAGCGCAGGACATGCCAACTGAGGAGCTGCGAAGCCTTATTCATCGCCAGCGCAGGACTGCAAGACGCTGTAAGAGTGTGCTCTTGGACCGGAAAGTGCGATCTCATTGCCTTTGATCAGGCGGTTTGGAGTCCCTGCACAAGACCGCTCAAGTCCAAAGCATAACACCTGCAACGATGCAAAGATGCAACACAAGCTTGCGGAACGTGTCCAGGCGAAAGCTGGGAGGATAGCTCCTTGCAGAAGATCTACGAGGCAGGTGCTCTGGTTCCAGTTTTTCCGCCAGACTGCCTCAGACTGCCATCCGAGGAATTGCTGGTGAAACTCCTGGATGGCCCTGAACATGATCCCTACGACTTGCCCACTCTGCAGAGACTGAAGGAGGGGATCTAAGCATAACTTGATGACGGCTTGATGGCTCAATGTGGCTCAACTGAAGCTGCATCAGAAAGCCACGAAACTCATGGGTCGGTGCGGCAGGCTGCCCTGGATCTGGACGGCATCGTCGTTGGCAATGCCCACAGGCCTGATCTGCATTGCGACAGTCGCAGAGGCCTGCAACGCTTTTGTCTGCAGAGGCACGCTGCACAGCTGCTGGTGTCCAAGGGATATTCAGGACTCGAGGCAGCCACGACCTGCTAAGTACTATTTCAATCCGATGTTGTCAGAACTTGTTGGATGACGTCTGCGCCAGGGTGAGCCGATGCGCGTTGCCACAGACAAGCTGCTCTTCCTATCACAGCGAGCCTTTGCTGATGAGGAACCCGAGGACGGTTTGTGCTCGTGGAAACATTATCAGACAGATGTCCAACTGTTGGAAGCAGACAGTGCCGATTGAGAGCCGATGGGGCTGATTCAGCTTCTGGCCAGGAGGCATCGCGCTATGAGATGGGACGGCTTTGCCAGGTGACGAGCTGAAGAAACTCGATTTTTTCGTTGCTTGACTTTGTTGCTCGAACTGTTACTTGGCAACTTCGCCGAAGCTTTGAAGACGGTTGAGTAGTTGAACTTACGATGAGGTTATCTCTTGTTGGCCTTGCTAGCTAGCATTGTCAGGTGCTGGAGGTCAATGACAAGGACGCGACAAAGCGTGTGCAGGCTGTCTCCCGGGCATTGTACCAGCAGGACGGGGATGCGCTCAAGCATTGTGCAATCCACGTTTTGTCCAGATCTGGTGGCAGAGTGGTTTAAGGCGTGCTGCTTTTCGTGGTCGGATTTGTGCTCTTGTTTTCCTTGCATAGCGTAGATCAAGACAGCATTAAGGTGTTGTCCATCGGTCAAGTGATGGGTGCTCTTGCAACTGGGGGGTGGGGGGGGGGGGAAGGGGGAAGCAAGATGAAGCAAAGGCCACAACGAGCTTGTTGCAGCATCGGTATTGCAATGGCTTTGAGATGCAGTTGCAGCATCTTGCAGCATAGACCTTTCGAAATTCGAAATGCATCGATCTACATCGTCCCCACAGGCGTGCCGAGCTTTGATCTTGGAAGCTTCGATTTGCAAGAACCTGTATGTTGAGATAAATCGTACATCGTGGAGGGGCACACCTTAGATCTTTTACACCCACACCCGTTCCTGTCACGACGCCAGACAGTCTTTTGCGCCGTGACTTTCTGATTTTGTTGTTACGGGATTGCATCCCCAAGCTGACTGATACGCAGCATCCCCACGTGTGCGCACTCCATGTGCTTGACAGATGCTCAAAGCATACCAAACTCCGGCAAATCTTTCGCTTGTGCCAAGCGTACAGCCCGAGCCAATCCGCTCCAAAGTGTTTTGGAAGCTTGTGTGCCGCGCCAGAACCTGAGTGCAGTCGTTGACAAGGCGGGACTAGTTTGCATGGAGCAATGTCGAGGTTCTGTGTCTGCAGCTCTTGTGTAAACCGGTTTGCTCGTGCCCCTGTGAAGTGCCAGAGCTGGCTAAAGCTACGTCAATTGGACGTGTGCTGGATCACGTAGGTCGCTTGTTTTTTTTGCCAGCCATGGAATATGGTCAAATACCATCCGATGCTGGAGCACCTGAATTGCAAGTTCGCATTTCGCTAGTCTTAGTATGTGTGTGTGTGTGTGTGTCTTACATGGTGTGTGTGTGTGTGTGTGCTTGTCAATTGCATTAAAACGGCTTCTGACACGCATGGAGCTGCACCCCAGGCCAGTGCGCGCGATGCTGCAATGGTCGTTCTAGCAGAGGACTGTATGATAAATAGGTTTGGGAGTTTGGAGATGTTTGGAGTGAAAAACTAGCAACATCTAGCGATGTCAGGATCCAGAAGATGCACTTTTTGGACAAGAGCTGACCACGCAGCCAGCGGTTCAGACAGTGCGCATTTGCCGATGGAAGGTTCCGCGTGCACCGCCATGCGCCACGTGCACGTCCAGTTCACGTCCAATTGTACACAGTGAAGTGTGCATGAGTCTGCTAAGCTCGTCCAGGTTGCCGGCGTGTCCATGGGCACTCTTGCTATTGGTGCAATGGTGCTCTTCATGGCCGATCCCTGCCAGATGCGCTATATGTTCAAGGTCCGACTCACAGCAGGGTTGCAGAGGTCGGATCCGATGTCGGATGGTGCACATGCACAGTGTCCGCAGCTCTTCGCGTGCTTGGAGCCGAGGCGTCCCCGCTGCAGCTGTCTGAAGAGACCCAGATCGAAAGTGCTGCGAGGACGCTCCGTGATGTACCTTGGTGAATGGCAAGTCCTCTGAGTTTTCCTTGCTCGGGGACTCGGGGCACTTCTCAGATTTTCGCCCCGACTAGAAGTTAGTTGCTTTGAGCTCAGGTGAAGTCAAGGCCCGAAGCTGACAAAATGGTGGCTAGGGCGTTGGAGGCAGCCAAGGCAGAAAGCAAGCACCACAAGCTTGCTACCCTCCCACCAGACTTCCGATCCCTTGCAACACCCAACCCGTACTTCCATTTTCAGAATGCAGAGCTGTACAAAAACGCCAAAGTCTTGGATGCGAACGCCAGGGCCAACGCCAACTCTTATGTCGGTATTCGAGACCCAGATCTGAAGCAGCAAGAAAACTTCCGACAAGCTTTCTGCGTTTTCAATTCTGTGGAGACAATTGACAGCATTGGTGGCACGGCCCTTGATATTGAAGGCATAGTTAATACTTGCCCAGAGCCACGCAACGACGTCGGCGACTTCTCATGTGCTGTGAACTCCGAAACCTTGGCCGAGATGGTGGGAAGTGCCGCAACGTGGTTATCCAATGCAGTCTCGTCTTGCGGTGTGTTGCCCAGTGTCCACGGCTCAGCTGACTTCGGCCCTGCTGCAGCTCTTTCATGGATGACTTGCGAAGTTTCCATGTGCTCAGGGTTTGCAATCTCAGGCCAGTGCAGAGTGCGGTGCCGCAGTCTCTGGCATTGTGAGTGCTCTCGGTGAGATTGCCGCCAGTACGAGTCTTGCAATGACATCTTGCAAGGAGTATCCTTTGGCAGGCGGGACTCTTTCAGGATCATGTTGTTTGGTCTCTCGTGCGGCGCCAGTCGAGTCCACGACGTCTCAAGTTTCAAGCTCTCAAACCATGGCTTCCGATGGCTTCTGCAGCATCTCATTTTGCCACGATTTTGCACGGGTGCGCAACAAGCATCTTGTGTGGCTCAACAGAAGCTCGAAGAGTGCACGGCCCTGCGGGCCAAGAGTCAGAAAGGGCTACTCCGAAACGACACCGCAGAACAATAATTTCGACACCGTTGGTTGAGATTGCTCGTTCGGGCCGTTCTGAGGCAAGGAAATAAAATGGCATGAAGGGACGAGCGTCAGAGCTCTTATCCCAAGCACATCCAAGCATGTCGAGGTTGAGAAAAAAGGTTGAGAAAATCACAGGTCAAGTTCATCTGCTGCACGACATGTTACGAGTATCTTCCATCTCCAGGAGTATCTCCACCGAAGGATCCCGTGTCGCATGTTGCATTCGCCATGTCCCGACTCGAAATGTCGAGTGATGTTCAGCAACATGTGAGCGTCATGCGCCTTTCATTAGCCTTGCCCTCTGCAGGATTCCGACAGGCAGAGCGTCTTTGCATCGACGGCGACTGCACTCAGGCTCCTGGGACACTGATGTCGCAGGCAGGGCGCCAGCAGGCAGGGCGCCGCCTGTTCATCGGCAGTGGCATTGGTGGCATGGGAGTTCAGTGCGCTGTGGACGTTGGCTTCATTGTGGACAACATTTACGATTCGATCTTCTTCATCCAGCAGGCAACCAACCTGGACTTTTGCAGCAAGAACGTCCGCTATGGGCCGTACAACTACCTCACCGGCGTGCCGGAGGCAGCCTGTGCCATGGACATTGCCGGTGCCATCGCCTGGATTACTCAAATTGCGACTTTCGTCGAGCAGTTGGTCAGTCACTGTCCGGATCTGCTGAACCTCCCCACTCTCTGTGGATCCAGTGCCACCGGAATGTTTTCAGCAGCATCTCAGATTGCATCCTGGGGATCCGGCATCGCCGTGTCCTGTGGAAGCGGCGAGAGTCTGACTCGAGTACCCGCCACCATCGTGCTTGCTAACTACTCTGATATTGCTGGCAGCTTGGAGCCGTTAGTCAAAGCTTTGTTTGGAGGACCTTCGACGTTCTGTCGCAAGCATGTTGCAAACAAAACGTCGCGAAGCGTCGCGAAGCTTTCATAAAGCGTTCCTGGCAGGTCGGGAGGTGGAGTTCGTGAAGCTGTGCTCGGCAGCTCTGGACGGATTTGGAGTGGATTGCGAGTGGGTCCAAGCAGATGATAATGGTGACATTGATCTCGACCTGCTTGGCACCCGCGACGGTGCGAAGTTTGCAAACCTGTACATACATAAGCTGAGTGATCGAGCATGATTGTGAGCATGTATTGAGCATGAGCTAAGCTTGGCCCTGCAGGACTCTTGCTCGCAGAGGCCCAGATCCGCATGAGTGGTTTGCAGGTCCCTGGCTTCCCAACATTGACTTTTGTCAAAAGGAAGGTCCTTCCCATCTACAAACGGCGGCTGCAAGAAGGCAGTGCTGAAGAAGAGGAAGAGCATGCTCAACTCGGGGAGCTGGCCATGGAGCACAAGAAGAAGTGGGATCCTGAGAATCATCCGAAAATGAAGGCTCTGCGCGAGGCAATGAGGGAGCTGGTTGACGTTCGGAAGGAGTTCTCCAAGATTGATGGCGAGCCGACGCAGAACTTGACCCGAGCAAACCTCCAAGAAAAGCTGCACCTGATTGGACCCGCGCTGAAGAAGTCTGAGCTCGGCCAAGAGACATGCTAGTAAGATCAGTAAGCCAATGCCAGTAAGCCCGTGAGCCTGAGTATGTTCACTGAGTATTCGCTTGTATGCTTCCCTGCCGACTTGGTGCTCCATGTCTGTGCCCTTTCCTATGGAAGGGTCACTGTAATGACTAGAATGGCTATAATGACTACAGTGACTATAACAATGACTACAAAAACTATAGTGGCTAGAGTTCTTACAGATTCGTACCATATTAAATGCCTAATTTTCACAGGACATCCCTTGCACGTGGATGTTTTTTAATGGTCGGCCCCGTTTTCTCTATAATTGACCTGAAACGGTCGTTCGCTTGCACCAGGCATCCATCTGTAAGCCAATGCAAAGTCTTCTGCTGAACATGAACAGCAGGCTGGCACTGACTTGAGCACAGACTGACTGAGTTTCACTCCGAAGAGGGTGGATGCCACTTGCGACGGGAAATACATCGGCAGTTTTTGTTAGTTTACAGCTGTGCCTAGCAAGGAAGGGCCTGGCAGCACCGAGCATCAAGACGTGTCAGGTCGATGCTCACACAGGTGAAGCGCTGGCAGGAGCTCAGATGGCCTTCGGCCGTCTTGGCGTGTAATTCGGTTCGCAGGATATGCTGTATTTGTCTCGCAAACGTGAAAGCAGAAGTGATACGCCCATGCGCGCTGGGTCCTTAGGTGTCTTTTGTGTCATGTGCCAGGCCTGGCGGGCGAAGAAGCGGAGCGGATGAACCTGGACACGTCGGGGCCCACGATCTCATGTTGTTCAGATTCCTGCAGCGATTGGCAGACCCTGTGAGATGCTATGTCACTGATTGTTTGTTGATGAAGCGGACAAGGTACAAGGAGATCGCCAAGGCATGGATTGGGGGGTCGGGGGGGGGGGGGGGGGGGGCAAGGTGTGTCCGGAGGGCGGCTGACTACAGGGGACATATTCGCTGTGCGTAGAATCGGCGTCGAAGGTCGGTGAAATCGTTGCTCGGGCCGGCTTGGAGTCGCTAATTTGTCATTCCGGTACGAACCGAGGCGCAACTTGCCGATGGAGCGTTGACCTCTGAGGGCAAGTCGACTTTGGAGCAAGCTAGAGGCGGACCGAGTAGATGCAAGCATGCGCATACACGCCACACAGGCGCATCAACGTGAGGGTACGATAGTACAGGTGATCTTTTGCGGCAGCCCGTCTTAGCTCAAAAACTTCACTTGCCATGAATGTCTTCTCGTGGCGATTGTGAACCTTGGAAAACCTCGCTCCGGGAAGGCTGAGTTACAGTTGAGCCGTCCCAAGCTTGTGCCAAGTCTGAGTCCACATGGCGGAGTTTGTCCGAGTCTGGCTGAGTGAGATCTGTGAGATACAGGTGCACGTCGCCTCCGGAATGAACTGGAGCATGAGCAGCTACAGCTTTACAAGACTGCGGATGGTGAGACCATGCCTTGGGACAGGCGACAACGGGGTTGGAACATGTTGCGGGCATGTCAATGTTAGGAGTGCAGATGGTGCAATTTCTTGTGCAGTTTGATTCACCTGCACTTGAATCAATTGTTCGTCTGTTGGAGCCGAGGTCCCCGGCAGGTACCGAGGCATCGCTGCTGCGCTTCCTCACTGCGCGAAAGGGCGACGTCCAAGCGGCTAAGAAGATGCTCTTTGCTGGCAGAGAGGAACAAAAAATAAAAGACCCCCCAGTTGTGGTGTGATCAATGTGTAATCCCATTGCAATTTCCAGGCACTAAGACTGAGGTTCACTGACCACCTGACATGGAGGCGCCTTGAAGCAGCGCGCGGGACTGCACGCATTGCGAACGTATGTGCGCCTTGATGCACGTGTGAAGTGTAGAACAGAGCTCGCAGAGATGTCTCATGGCAATGAGGTTTTTACTTGCCAGTCTATGTTTGCAGTGGAGGCAGAAGATCTTTCCCATTCCACGAGAGGGCTTGACAGCCGAACTTCTGGATGAAGATGTGCGATTCCGCCGGCTTAGGGAGGATGGTGATGGTTGTCCTGTGCCTTGTCTTTCAGCTGTACAGTTTGCACTTGGCAGCATTTCTGCACAATCGGAAAGAGGGAGAGTTGAGGACAGAATCTTTGCGTCTAGGGCAAGAAAAGCGAACGCTGTAGGGCAATGTAGGGTCAGGAAGGTTGTGAATCTGGCGACATATGCAACTTAGTGCCAATTGGTCACCTGGAAAGAGACTTACTTCCCTTATCTTCCCTTACTACCGTGTCCGAACTGGCGGCTGGAGCTGGCAGCCCCAAACGGGATAACTTGGAGCGTCTTGGGGCCCGTGGATCCCAACATCCCATCAGACGAGAGCCTCATCGATCAGCAGTCCAAGCTGGCAAAAGCAGGGAAAGCGGGGAAGGCAGGGCTCCTGGTTTGGAGCAACGTAAACGATGAGGGAGGCTCCGGCCAACTAGAAGTGTTCGATTCAGTTAATTTTATCGCTACCGCGAGGCTGCCTCGGCAAGGGTACCGAGGCGGCAGGAAGGGGTAGTGCGGGTGAGGGGGGGTGCCCGTCGCGCAACAAGCGCGGGGGGTTGAGGGGGGGGGCAAGGGGAAGGGGGGGAAGGGGGTAAAGGGGGGGGTAGCCTCAGGCAACATGTGTCGGACAACAAGCGCTCGGCACTGTCGCTTCACCTTGCCAGCTGTGTACAGGTTCCAGGTGTAAAGTTGAAAGGTTTGGGGGGGCTCCGAGATTTGGCTTCGCGCAGTGTCAGGGTTGGGAGGAAGCCCAGCCCAGCCCTCCAACGTCTAAGAGGAGCCAACATAGCCTCCAAGCCCTCCCAGCCCAGCCCAGCCCAGCGCAGCCCCAGCCCAGCCCAGCCAGCCCAGCAGTTGCAGTGGCCTGCCCTAAGAAGAGGGGCCAACATAGACCCTCAAAGAGGGGCCAACATAGCCTCCAAGACCCTGCAGTGGGATGGGGGGGGGCTTAGGCTTCAGGGCATGGGGCTTCGGGCTTCGGGCTTGGGGCTTGGGCTAGGGCTTAGGAATTCGCATCTGCCCCCTATACCTGGGCCCAAATCCCCGCTGGTCCGGGCACGTCGGCCGCGGCTGGATACAGGTCGAGTACGGGGGGTACCCATTCCAGACCATAAAAAGCTCGGCCGCAATGTGGGAGGGGGTAGGGGGTGGGTACACTTCCTAGTGGTTCCTTAGACTTGGATCTAAACGCCTCAAGCCTCCGGCCTCGGCATCGCGTGCATATGTTTGGGCATTCTGGCTCGAAAACATAGCGCACGTAGATCATCGGTTGGTTCCGCGGATCTGGCTTTTGTTTGGCTTCTTCCTTCCTCCAGTATGATGTTTGTCTGCCGGGTGTTGCCACATCAGTGAGCAGAGTGCGTAGCCACGATGTCGAGTAGCTTACTTGGCGAGGTAGGCTCTCGGACAAGATAGATTCGATAATATCTGGTCTCGGAATGTGTGCTGATAATCCGATAGTACCTTAGGCTTGGGTTCGGGATTTGGCGAGACCTTGCAAGGAAGCGCTTCAGTTCTACATAGGTCAGGGAGGTTGACTTGTGCATGTTTCAGGGTTGCAATGCCCTTTTTGTACGCTCCTCTCAGGTGCTTCTGGTGAATTTCTTGTTTGGCGGCTTCACCACTGAGGCTGGTGGCTTGCCAGAGCCTCCCCACAAAATGTTGCATTGCGCATTTTTCTGACATCTCTTGGCTTGCGAGGCTGTCTCAGAGGCTGCTTTGGTATTGGCAGCCATCAGATTCTTTGAGGACAGCATTGACTCCATGGAACGACGTGGGGTGCATCAAATATGTAGTTTGGCTTGCGATCTGTTGGGTTAACACTTTCGTCTTTCAACAGAGTTTCGCGAGGTGTCAACGCATTTCGTGCAAGTGCTACCAGTAGGAGCTACTGAGTAGCTGCTTTGTAGCTGGTTTGTTGGAACGAGGTGCCCTGGTGTTCGGCTCGCCTCCACCGGTGGCATGGGCACATGTGACCCTTGGCTGTTCCGAAGAGGGTTGAAAAATCATAGCAGCTTCCGAATAGGCTGTGCGAGCATGTGAGAGATGAGGATGGTTTCGGCGTTTCAAAACAACTACCCGGAGCGGCTGAAGATTGCCATCGTGTACCCGGTTCCCGCATCGTTTGTCTCCCTCGTGCGTCAGGTCATGTGGTGGCACGGCTTGACACGGACCTTGCATTCTGTTCGTTCACGTGCCATTGCTGGCTGCTACTGTAAGTTGTTCTCACTTTGAAGACCTGCTTCACGAAGTTCGCAAAGTTAACAGGCACAGCGGCACAACTTTCTAGAGCAGTTCCTGTCCGGAGTACTGGCGTTCCAGTAGCTAACTTAGCTTTGCTTCTTTGCTATCATCCGCAGGGGTAATTCTGTCATTGGTGCTTTCCTGGTATGTTCATGTGCTAACAATGAGCATCCTGTGGAACGTGAGTTGTATTGTGGGTTGCTTGCGTTGTGTTGACATTTCCACAGCGGTGAGGTTTGTGGATGAAAACACACGCTCCAAAGTTGATTCTTGGATGCATCTTAGTGACTTAGTGCACTACAACTCAGCATGGGCACGCTCTTGCACGTTGCTGAAGAAGTTGTGCCAGTATGTGCCAGTGTAGGACATGGAGACGGATGAGCAGCCATTGCTGACCAGATTCGGCTTCCGCTCGGATGACCTGCCTTTGGAGATCCGGGGTGGGTACCGTGGCGTGGGGGAACGATGGAAGCCGGATGTCCTTCGTCTGCAGGGTGTTGGCAGATGTTGGCAGCATCTTGTTCCGTCGCCTTTGTTGAAGCTCTGGAAGCCCTGCGAAGCTGTGTGAAAGCGTGACTCGAGCCAGGCTGGCAAGCTCCTTAGAATGGCTTATGCTTTTCTCTGGCCGCATGGACGGCAAGTCGCAGACTTGGAGATGACGATTTACAAAGCGGCAAGGGCTGCTGAGCCGCCTCAAAATGGGTTCAAGGCGGAACTTGCAGGACCAGATGCAGCTGCCACTTGCAGCGTGCTTTTCGGCACGCCTCCCTGTAGGCTGGTCCTGCCCCTGTTGAAGAGCCAGCGTGGCCGCACCAACCTGAGGTAGCATTTGCATCAGTTTTGCATGCCTTTTTGCATCCCTCGCTGCAGAAACGTTGTGCATTCTGAAGGTCCTGGCTGTCATGCTGTTGGCAAAGACCGTCATATGCACCTGAAGACTTTGCGACAACCGCTGAGCTCTTCCATGATGCTGAAAGCTCCGAAATCAAGCCGAGCACGGGTCGCTGCCTGAATATCGCAGCCTTGTTAGCCGTTGCGCCTGGCTCTTCAGCAGTTGAGATCAGAGCACACAGGTGCATCGCCACCAGGTCGAGTTCGCGAGGAGACAGAAGGCTTTCATTGACAGCACATACAGCACTGAATTGACAAGTTGAACAGAGGGCAGTCTGTGTGGTTTTCCTGGCACCCTGGGTTTCTCCCATCTGAGGCTGTCTCTCAATGATCCTGCGGACAAGTGCCTTCCTCCTGCTGCTCTTTTGCATGCTTTGGTTGTTTGCGCGGGGTGGCCGCAACTTGACCGAACGTGGCAGCAGAAATTAAGCACTCTCTGCAAGTTGCGACCCCTCTGCACTCCTTCGTTGCTCTGCACTTCTTCCCTCAGGAAACGAGATGCTGTCTGCAGTTGAACTCTGATGTCCGCGTGGCGTTGTACCATGCTGGACAGTGCTGCCCACTGATGGTCAATCCCAAGAGCAAGCGGTGAACTTCTTCCACGCACAATCCGGATGCGGTCTTCCCAGTCTTCCCGGACATGGTCGACAGGATGTGGCGCCAGAGGCATGGCCCAACGCGGCCCTGCGCTGTTGGAGGTCAAATCCATGGGAGTCTGCCCGAAGCTGGCTCTGCTGAGCTTTGCAGACGGAGTAGGTCGCGCTACGTCGCAGATCGGTTCGCATGTCGATTCAGAAAAAAGCTTGAGCTTGCCTTGATGAGATTTGATGCGATGAGGCGCAAATTTCAGAACACATGCATAAGTAAGGTCTCGAGGTATCCCCCCCGCCCCCCACCCCGCAACCCCCACCATGGTTTCGCCCCCCAGCCCCCACACCCCCCCCAAACCCCAAGCCTCTCCCCTAAACCTTAAACCAACCTTAAACCTCACACCCTTAACTTAATCCGTAAACCTTCAACCCCAAACGCCAACCCCCTGTTCACAGCACAGGCAGGGGGGGCTAAACCTTAAACCCTACATGTATGTAAACCCTCAACCTTAAACCTTAAACCCTAACCCCCCAACCCAAAGCGCTGGCCCCCCAACCACACCCACACCACAATAGGGGTCGTGGGGTAGAGATCCAAGGGAGGATGGGGAGGGGATACCATGGGGGCCGAGACCATATAGATACATATGTTTGTATATTGTAGATATGTATATATGTATATACATGTTTATATACAGAAGTATATATATATATATAGATATATACATATACTTCAATCTTCAAGGGAGCGAAGAATCTTTTTTTGTTGAAGAAACATTTCGAGCTTGAGCATCTGAGATCCTACTGAAAAGTTTTGGTGGATCTTCACTTTGAGGACCGAAACTTCAACATTTCAAACAAATTCAAGATTGAAACTTTCTGTGCTCGAATCGAAGATTATACACATGTTCTGTGTGAAATTCTTCAGTCTTCGATTGCGGGCCGAACAAATTCAACTTTTGAAGCTTGACATGTGTTTAGCTATACCGAGAAATCTGAAACGAAAAAACGATATCATTTGTACACTTACAACTGTAAGTACATGAAGGTAAATCGCCAGAATTGCCAAACAACGATGCACGAGCCCCATAGCACATTGTGTTTGGCGCATCTGTTGTCCCAGCAGCTGTCCTTCATTCTCTTCCGGCCAGTCAAACAACATCATTACGAAAGGTTAGTTTACATCCACTGAGGTTCATTAAACTTTCTGAATAATTTGCATGTTTGAATTGTGCTGGCAAGACTGTAGTTGACGTCTATTAACCACGTCAAGTATTGAAGATAGCACAAGTAACGATATCTATGGTGCTGGCGAGAGGTTCCATTTACGTCTTCCTTCTCGCTATTTCGTTTATGAGCCTGAAGGTGTACTGCAGCTGCGGGACAAAGCAGCCTCAGCGGCATTCGCTGCGGTTTCAGGTCCAATCCTTCAGAAGGCTGGATCTGGCATCAAGCTGCAGGCATGTGTCGGAAGAGTCGGAAGAGCAATGTGCAGTTTTTTCAGGAGCTGGACGCGCTCTTGCCGAGCCTAAAGGACCGTTGCTGTTCCTTCAATTTCCAAGTCGAAGTGCTCGCCCCGAAGTACACAGGATCCTGCTGTGTCGACCGAGAAGCTGAAGGACTTCTCGACAACTTTGACGGCTCGCGGGGAGGCCAGCATGGGCTGCAAAAGTTGTGTCAGTTCCCTTTCGCAGCTCTTCAAGCATCTCTTCATGTCTTAGCTATATGGACTTCCACAGCATGCGCAGAAGATTTTGCTGGCAGGCGTAGCAGAAATATTATCAGAAATTTGCCAGGTACTTGGCCTCTCCAGCGCTTCAACCTTCACATGCATTCGCCAGGACTGCTGAGTTTGTTGGAAACCCTCCTTCTGCGGGTTTGATCCTGCTTGCAGGCGCTGCAAGAGAACTTGCGGTCCATGTACAACGCGGCCTGCAAGGACCGTTTTTTTGGAGCGAGTGCCAGGGAGAACAAGCATGCAGATTTAAGAATGTTCCGGATCAACAACACGTTATTTCGGATCGAACAAACTTGGCTGAGGGTTGCCGCTTTCGTTCTCCGGTCTGCTGATCCTCTGTCTGCTGGTCCTCGGTATCTGGCAACTGTGGTCCCCTGATCCTGCCGTGCCCTTTAGTCTGTTGGGCCAACGGTTCCCATCATGCCACCAAGTTGACTCACTCTTGTCCGAACCTGTCATAGGAGCACTGTGAATCTTGTAAGCTCACCCTAGCTACGCCTGCAGAGCCCTTGTTTGCCTCAAATCTGCATCATGCCACCCATCGTATTTGGAGGAATGGCTGCTCACCCCCACCCCTCCCACCCCCCCAACCCCAGCTATGAATTAAAGTATTGAAGGAACCTTCTGCAATCAAGACGAGTAGCTTCGAACAAATATCTGGATTATCTTTCACACTCATCATACAAGCAACATATGACATTACAGGCACCCACGGCCACCACTAATTGCCATTGCCCTACTTGCCCCACTTGCCCCACTTGCTTTTCCGGAAGAGCTTATCGAGGTTGCCCCACTTGCCCCACTTGGTGGCCCGGAAGAGCTAATTGATTTTGCCCCACTTGCACCACTTGCCTCACTTGTTCCCGCGTCCTGCAGATCTTCCCCTCCCTCCCGCATCGTGAAGGCGGGGGAAGTGGGAGGACGTGGGCAAGTGGGGCACGTGGGGCAAGTAGGGCAAGTGAGGCAAGTGAGGCAAGTGGGGCAAGTGGAGCAAGCGGGGCAAGTCGGGCAAGTGAGCACGCCATTGGGCCAAGCTTGCCCCGTGCTCGCCCAACCAAGTCTGCCTCAATCCAGGCTGTCTTTGAGGCAGGCTTGTGGCTGGAGCCAAAGCTGCACCATGGGTCCCTGCCGGGCCAGCTCCCAGCCACAAGTCTGCCTCAATCCGGGCTCTCTTTGAGGCAGGGGGCCTTGCCCCACTTGCCCCACTTGCCCCGCTTGCCCCGCCTGCAGAGCACATCATGCCATCAAAGCTTTGCCTCAAATAAGCATCTCACACTTTTCCAAGTCCGTCACAGGAGCATTGCCGCCATTGTGTTTTGCAAATGGGGCGGGGGCTCCTTCGCGCCCTCTGCTTATTTTAACATGCTTTCTTCAAATGTCATCCTGCCATCAAGAGGAACGCTTCAAAACGTGTCTGAGTTTTTTCCAATCCTATTAGACTTGTGTTTGCTGCCTCCAAACCCCCGCATGTTTTTAAAACCTCTGTTCGAACGTTCTTGTGGAAAGTCTTGGACTCAAGAACCATCCTTGCAAGGTACATCTGCATCACAAATGGATTAAATAGCTGCTTCCAAACCCATATGAATCTGGCAAACGGGCCTGCCTTTCCCCAACTCCCTTCCCCATCCCCAGCCTTCCCCCCCCTAAAAAACACATTGCAAGGAATTGCTTCAAACCTCATGATGAATGGTTTCCCTTCATGTCTCCCTTTTCTGAACTCCTGGGTTGGATGGGTGGGCACGCCGCATTGGGCTCGCTTCATGTCTCCCTTTCTGAACTCCTTGGTCGGCTGGGCAGGCCACGAAGCAGCCGAGTGCAGTTTCCTGTTTTCTCGTGTTTGTCTTCGAACGGCGAATCTGTGGCGCGCAGTTTCGTACTTTTTGGTTTTTGATGTCGAAGTTCTGCAATCGTAGCAGACACATCCCTTGTATCCCGAGCTTGTTCTGCCGCGCAAATCTCGGCACGTGGGTAGCTTTGTCCCGCGAGCAAACTGTCAATGTCATGTATTGATACATTTGATTCCTTCTTGGGGGGAAAAGCGCATGGTCTGCTGCCGCGGGCGCCGAACGCCTTAGTAACTTGATGTTGACGCGCTGTTTGGGGAATAGTTTCTGTGATCACCTACCCGGAAGCGCAGCCCGCCCGAATTCAGAGTGCCATGGCAAGTTGCATGAGGAAGCACGTACCAGCACCACAAAGTCTTTGAAGACCATGGACGAGGCCACGCCTTTCTGGTTGAGTTTGTCCAGGGATGCAATAATTTAACGGCATGATGCTAAGACCTGCGATTCGAGCCGGCATCTAAACATGACTCGCAGACCCCAGACCCCAAGCAGGAGAGAGTTCAATGGAAGTAGGTTTGCGAGCTGCACACGCACAAGCATAGATTCGGGTTCTGTTGCAGACAGGGTTCCACCTCCTCATGGGATTAAGATGAACTGCCTGCCCCCCCCGCCCCCGGTTGCTGCCTGAAATCTTGGGCTCTGCTCCATCGTACCACGGGGATACCGCCATGCGTATCATGTCCACCCTGTGGGGACTGGGCTGTTCGAGCCGTTCTCCTCATGTTTCGATGCATGGGTGCGTGCGTGTGGGACGAGCCTTGAGCTTCTGTTCCTTTTATGAAGAATTATTGTATCAGAGCTGTGATGTGAGAAGTTTGCTGTTTTGCCCAAGTGTTCACATCGTGGTGAAGGCTTCCATGCCAAGGCCTCGCCCGTCGGTCTGTAGCCAAACTCCCAGACTTCAGCACGGAGAAGAATCACAGTCTTGAGGCTCTGAGGCTGGCCGCCTCGAGGCAGCCAAGTCAGCTGGTCCTGGAACTAAAAACTTTCGAATGCTTTCGAAGCCCGATGACGTTGCTTGGCAAGCCCTGAAAGGAAAGATGGTATCGGCGTACATTGGCTGAGAAGCCTGCAATGTTCATGTGAGCTGGGAGGGCCAAAAGACGAGAAGGATGCGGCAAACAAAACATCTTAGGAAATGAAGCCCAAACTCTTGAGAGCAGATGTTGGGCGGAGGTGTTGGGTGGCAAAGCCGAGACCCCAAAAGGAGATGATGTGCCAAGACTTAAGCCCTAAACCCAAAAAGTGTCCCTTAAAGGCTGCCAAGCCGTAAACCCTAAAAATAAGCCTTACAATGCTCGGTAGCAAGCACTACACCCTACAAAGTGGCATGGTGATCAGACAGGTGCTGGCGGCAAACCTTAACAACCCCTAGAAAGAAACGCTGGGTTGGGTGGCAAAGCCTAAACCTTAAAAGAAGATGTTGACTGGCAATCCCTAAGCCCAAAAAGACATATTGGCCGAAGAACCTCCATTGGCCGAAACGCCTCCCAAAAGCAGATGGTGGGTGGCAAGCCCTAAATCATAAAAGGTAGCATGGTGATAAGACAGGTGTTGCGGGAAAACTCTAAACCCTAGAAGGAAATACTGGGAACTAAGCAAGGTCTTTAGCCACCCCTTCGAGAGGTCAGGCCGATTTTACGCAAAGCAAACAAGTAGTTGTGACGGAGAACCCTCAGAGTTACAAGTACGCAAAAGCAGTTACGTCCGAGCGTGCTTCCATGAAACCGTACATGAAGCTTCGGGAACTCTAGGAAAGTGCAAGCCGATCATTGTCATAGCTTCTCATTCATGCCGGGTTATGCCGGGTTCATGCGACGAGAGCGGCGGCGACGAGCAGAAGAACCGCAAACGAGTGACCCAATACAACAGGAGTTGCATGTGAGCTCAGCCTAGCGCAGGGAGCTCAGGGTTCCCCTCTCAGGACGGCCTTGAGGGTAAATGCACAACCGTTCTTTCTTCCGACCGTGGCCCCTCTGGACATTGACCCGCCACCAACTTGACCGACAGCAAGCTTTCAACAAAGATGCTAAGCGGGGATGTGGCCCCGCGTTCAGAGGAAGCACACAGAGCTGCGACTTTGGCATCCTCTGAAGCTCCCAGCATCTCCCACAAACCCTGCAACACTGTAGCTGTAGTGAGCCTGTAGGTTGCAGGACGTTGCCTGGCTGAAGCCTTGAAGAAGTTGGATTTCAGTGCTTGAAGCTACTGCGATGTTTTTCCAGCAGCTCTCCTGAACAGATGATGGCTTTGACCAAAGCTTCGGACGATCTCCTGAAGCAGATGCTGGCAAGTTCCTCTGTTGCCATTTCCGTTGATGAGCTGTAGTTTTGAAGGTCCGGTTCTTTTTGCCTTTTGTTTCCACTGAGGCCGGACTGAAAGAACCAGCGGAAGAGGTGGAGGAGTGTTCGGCGCATTGATCTGCGTATGATTTTGCGACGGATGCGAAGTGCGATGCGGAATTTTGGAGGATGGGCGCCTTACGCTGACTGCTGACCCCCTGCCCGGACGGCGGCCCCTTGGCCGCAAAGCATGTAGTAGCTGCCAATGTAGCCATTAATTACCATCCAGAGGCGCTCTCTCTGAGCTCTCTACGCTCTCAGCACGCCCTCCGAGGTTGTACGGCCTTTACTTGGAGCGGTCCTTGAAGGGCGAGGCGCCGAATGGAGATCATATGGGAGGTCCTGGGAAGCTGCGCAGCACGTCTTTGCCAGGCACCTTCGACTTCCGACCCTGATCGGTTCGCCAGCATTCTTGAGCTGTCAGAGGTGGCTGTCATGGCATGTCATGGCGTTTCCTGCAACTTTGAAGCTGAGAGTCATCAGGAAGATGCAGAAGCTGCCAGAGTTGAAGCATGCTGTGGCCCAAGCAAAGATGGCTCGTACCCGATCCCACGCGTGCTGAGCAGTAATCGGAGGACTCATTGCTTCCGGATGCACCGGAGCCCAGGTCAGCCCAAGCTTCGTGAGATGTACCTGACATGCATCAAAAAAGCGCAGGCCCCCGCTGCAAGCGGAGCATCCCCAATACAGCTCAGCTTCCATCCAGTTCAATTTCACGGTTCCTGGTGTGTTCCAGTTTCCGTGAACGGGGTATTTCAATATTCACAATTAGAAGCCTTTTAGAATAGTATTAATATTCATATGAATGTCACTGTTAATATCAACAGAGCTCATCAGCGCTGCATCCGAAAATGATTTTGTCTCCGATCCCCTAGCTAATACCGCAAAGTTAATTTATCCATCACAGGCTTCTATGATCCCCTGTCCAATTCAGATGTTCCTCATGTCAGGGACAATGATTACCAGCTTCCAAACAGGTCCAAACAGAGAATACGGAGAGGTTTGGGGTCATGCAAGACGCTGGGCACTTGTGTGGCTTGTGTGAGGAAGAGAAGTGCACATTGGCGGAGATGAAACCGGATCTGAGCGACCAGGTGCTAAGCCCAGCCTTCAGGATCCTGTAGGGGCCCTGTCGCTTGCTTAGAAGAAGTGAACGTATGCCAAAGTCGCTTGCGTCGCTTGCAGATGGCCAAATTCCGTCTGCCTTTCAATGCCGTAGAGGAAACGGCCATGGAGGCTCGGACAGGGTTGGGCGGGGGGACATGCGTAGCATACTTTGGTGCCGACCTTCACGTGCTCTGCACTCTTCCAGAGGTCTACAAAACCTGCCTGGAGAAAGTGAGCGGCCGGGTCTTGAAGTCCACGCAAAAGGAGGAGCTCGATGCTCTGCGAGGCAGTGCTGCAAGTACTAAGCCAAGCTGGCCATAATATGGCTACCTGTGAAGACGATTGTGTTACTGTGTTAGAAGCTTGTCTTTTGGTTGTGTGTGCGTGTGTTGGTGAAAAATGTGGAGACTTCATGGAGCTCGAGATGAGCAGCGTTCGACGGCTACACCTGAAGGCGCTTTGCATTGTTGCGCGTCGAGACTTGTGATATGTTTGTGACATGAGTGAGCGCCCTCATTTGTTGAGTGTTTGATAAGCAAAAGACCTGATCTGTTAGGGGGAGGGCCGGGGGGTCAGTGTCGAAGGCCTTCGCCTCGACTTACGAGGAGAGCGTGCGGGAAGCGCTGGGACGATCAGGTGCGAGACCTGTTCAACAGTCAACAGCATTCGTACATGTTGCAGTCATTACGGCGGCTCGCATTCACTGAAGCTGTTGATGGTTTATGCGTGTACTCGTACAGTAAGTAAGGTGCTACAGGGCAGTTCGGTGCATTCGCATGGTTGTGCCAGTAGCTCTGTCGTATCCATAGAGCCTATCCGCTTGTCTTCGCTGCAAAGTTGCATGTGAGACGCAGCTCCCCGCTGCTGTACATTCTCGAACAGCCTGTGAGGCAAATTTTGTGTAGAAGCTGAACCCCGAGCGAGAATGTGGAAAGTAGCCGTAGTGACCGTCCTTGGTCTTGCGACTTTTGCGTCTGCCAAAGACGACGAGAAGAAGATCGATGGTCCGGTGATCGGAATTGACTTAGGAACCGGGCTGCACCAGTCGGTGGCTTCAGTTGATGTGAAGGTGTTGTCTAGGTTGTCATGGTTTCTGGAGCAGGGGTTCGGGAGTTGAAAGCCCTGTGGCAAAAGTCGAACGGCATGGCTTAGCTGTTTGGGTGGCTAAGCTGAGGCACCACGTACTCGTGCGTGGGCATCTACAAGAATGGGCGAGTAGAGATCATTCCGAACGATCAGGGCAATCGTATCACGCCTTCTTACGTGGCTTTCACCGATGACGAGCGTTTGATCGGAGAGGCGGCCAAGAACCAGGCCACCATCAATCCCACCCAGACGCTCTTTGACGTGAAGCGACTTATTGGCCGTCGCTTTAAGGACTCCACGGTGCAGAAGGACATCAAGCTCCTGCCGTACAAGATCGTGGACAAGAGCAGCAAGCCCATGATCGCTGTCAAGGTCAAGGGCGAGGAGAAGGTCATGGCTCCGGAGGAGGTGTCCTCCATGGTGCTTACCAAGATGAAGGCGACAAATGGTCAAATATCCTAAGCAGAGTCAAACATGTTGAATTCATGCAAGTGTGCCAGAACACTTTTAAGTTAGTTTAAGCAACGACGTGGCTCTGATTGGTGAAGTAGTTATTTATCTTGAAGGAGACGGCAGAGAACTACTTGGGCAAGGAGGTCAAGCACGCTGTTGTGACCGTGCCCGCCTACTTCAACGATGCGCAGCGCCAGTCCACCAAGGATGCTGGAACCATCGCAGGTCTCAATGTCTTGCGCATCATCAACGAACCCACGGCCGCGGCCATTGCATACGGTTTGGACAAGAAGACGGAGAAGAACATTCTCGTCTATGACCTGGGCGGTGGCACCTTCGATGTCTCCCTCCTGACCATCGACAATGGCGTGTTCGAGGTGGTGGCCACCAACGGCGACACCCACTTGGGCGGAGAGGACTTCGACCAGCGAGTGATGCAGCACTTCATGAAGATCTTCGAGAAGAAGCACGGCAAGGACATGACCAAGGACAAGCGTTCCATCCAGAAGCTGCGCAGAGAGGTCGAGAAGACCAAGCGAGCACTCAGCTCCACCCACCAGGCACGCCTGGAGATCGAGGCCCTCTACGATGGTGTCGACTTCTCTGAGACACTGACCCGCGCACGTTTCGAGGAGACAGCGCTATGCCTTGCCGGTTTCAGGTCTCTGTTGGGGTAGCATGCAGTTGCTAGAGCTTAAAGCAGCGTTTGCCCCAACCTCTGCCAGGAGCTCAACAACGACCTCTTCAAGAACACCCTTGGCCCAGTGAAGCAGGTGCTGGACGATTCTGGCTTGAAGAAGAACCAGGTCGATGAGATCGTGCTGGTGGGCGGCTCCACCCGAATCCCCAAAGTGCAGCAGCTGATCAAGGCCAGGGAAGCGTTCGGGCGTAGCTACCAGTAGGTTGTTTGTTCATGTTGTTCGCCGTGGGAGTGCCGCCAGGACTTCTTCAATGGCAAGGAGCCCAACCGCGGCATTAACCCGGACGAGGCAGTGGCATATGGCGCTGCTGTGCAGGCTGGCATCCTAAGCGGTGAGGGTGGCCAGGACTTGCTGCTGTTGGATGCTTGGCGGCAGTAGACGGCGGGTGTGGGCAGTGGAGGGGCTGGGAGGGGCTTGACGTGAGCTTTTGAGGAGGACCTGCGGCAACAGCTAGAGTCTAGAGGGCAAGGCTGCAGGCAAACGCATGCAAGCACAGATCAATGCTTTGAAACTTGGCCGAAGCAAGGATGTGACACCCTTGACCCTCGGCATCGAGACTGTGGGCGGCGTCATGACCAAGCTGATTAGCCGCAACACAGTGATCCCCACCAAGAAATCCCAGATTTTCTCTACCTACCAGGACAATCAGCCTGCGGTGAACATCCAGGTCTATGAGGGCGAGCGGCCCATGACCAAGGACAACCATTTGCTGGGCAAGTTTGAGCTGGGTGGAATCCCTCCTGCTCCTCGTGGACAGCCTCAAATCGAGGCAGCTGTTTAAAGCGTTTTGAAAAGACCTGGAGCACAGGGAGAGCTGCAACATCACATAGCCATTGGGCCCTCTGCCGTGTTTTTGCATGTTCCCTGCAGGTGACGTTTGAGATCGACTCGAACGGCATTCTGAACGTGGGTGCGGAGGACAAGGGTACAGGCAAGAGCGAGAAGATCACCATTACCAACGACAAGGGTCGTTTGACTGAAGAGCAGATCGAGAAGATGATCCGCGAGGCCGAGGAGTTCGCGGACGAGGACAAGAAGGTCAAAGAGCGGGTGGATGCCAAGAACGCCTTTGACGGTTACGTTCACTCCATGCGCTCTGCCACTGAGGGCTCTGGAGACAACAAGGGCCTCAGCGAGAAGATGGACTCTGACGAGAAGGAGAAGATTCTGGATGCCTTGAAGGATGGCCAGTCCTGGCTGGACTCCAATCCCGAGGCCGACGCAGAGGAGATCAAGGAGAAGCACAAGGAGATCGAGGGAATCTGCGCGCCCATCGTCTCCAAGTACTACGGCGGCGGGGGTGCCGGTGGCGCTGGCGGCGCGGACGAGGACGAGGAAGAGGCGCACGACGAGCTGTGAGGGTTCGTTTCCACAGAAAAAAGCAAGAAGTCAGTGCCGTTTCACCTGCTGCCGAAGGACAGCACTTTCCGCGACGAATAGTTCTCTGTAGGGGTTCTCAGAAAGACCGGCTTTGGTGCCAATAAAACCGGGCAATGCCTTGCGGCTCGCCTCGATCCGAAAAAAGGACTCAGCGTCACCAGGTATAAGCGAGAAGACAAACCTTTGCCAATGCAGTTCAACCAGCGCTATGCAGCTGTGAGTGAGTTCCTCAGTTAGACTCAACCAGGGCAAACTAGCTGCCCATTTTTGCTGGCCTTGTGGCCAGGTTGATTTTGTTAGCCATGTGGAAAGCAGCGGCTCTGATCGCTCTTGCGACTTTTGCGTCTGCCAAAGACGACGAGAAGAAGATCGATGGTCCGGTGATCGGAATTGACTTAGGAACCGGGCTGCACCAGTCGGTGGCTTCAGTTGATGTGAAGGTGTTGTCTAGGTTGTCATGGTTTCTGGAGCAGGGGTTCGGGAGTTGAAAGCCTTGTGGCAAAAGTCGAACGGCGTGGCTTAGCTGTTTGGGTGGCTAAGCTGAGGCACCACGTACTCGTGCGTGGGCATCTACAAGAATGGGCGAGTAGAGATCATTCCGAACGATCAGGGCAATCGTATCACGCCTTCTTACGTGGCTTTCACCGATGACGAGCGTTTGATCGGAGAGGCAGCCAAGAACCAGGCCACCATCAATCCCACCCAGACGCTCTTTGACGTGAAGCGCTTGATTGGCCGTCGCTTTAAGGACTCCACGGTGCAGAAGGACATCAAGCTCCTGCCGTACAAGATCGTGGACAAGAGCAGCAAGCCCATGATCGCTGTCAAGGTCAAGGGCGAGGAGAAGGTCATGGCTCCGGAGGAGGTGTCCTCCATGGTGCTTACCAAGATGAAGGCGACAAATGGTCAAATATCCTAAGCAGAGTCAAACATCTTGAATTCATGCAAGTGTGCCAGAACACTTTTAAGTTAGTTTAAGCAACGACGTGGCTCTGATTGGTGAAGTAGTTATTTATCTTGAAGGAGACGGCAGAGAACTACTTGGGCAAGGAGGTCAAGCACGCTGTTGTGACCGTGCCCGCCTACTTCAACGATGCGCAGCGCCAGTCCACCAAGGATGCTGGAACCATCGCAGGTCTCAATGTCTTGCGCATCATCAACGAACCCACGGCCGCGGCCATTGCATACGGTTTGGACAAGAAGACGGAGAAGAACATTCTCGTCTATGACCTGGGCGGTGGCACCTTCGATGTCTCCCTCCTGACCATCGACAATGGCGTGTTCGAGGTGGTGGCCACCAACGGCGACACCCACTTGGGCGGAGAGGACTTCGACCAGCGAGTGATGCAGCACTTCATGAAGATCTTCGAGAAGAAGCACGGCAAGGACATGACCAAGGACAAGCGTTCCATCCAGAAGCTGCGCAGAGAGGTCGAGAAGACCAAGCGAGCACTCAGCTCCACCCACCAGGCACGCCTGGAGATCGAGGCCCTCTACGATGGTGTCGACTTCTCTGAGACACTGACCCGTGCACGTTTCGAGGAGACAGCGCTATGCCGCTATGCCTTGCCGGTTTCAGGTCTCTCTCTGTTGGGGTAGCATGCAGTTGCTAGAGCTTAAAGCAGCGTTTGCCCCAACCTCTGCCAGGAGCTCAACAACGACCTCTTCAAGAACACCCTTGGCCCAGTGAAGCAGGTGCTGGACGATTCTGGCTTGAAGAAGAACCAGGTCGATGAGATCGTGCTGGTGGGCGGCTCCACCCGAATCCCCAAAGTGCAGCAGCTGATCAAGGCCAGGGAAGCGTTCGGGCGTAGCTACCAGTAGGTTGTTTGTTCATGTTGTTCGCCGTGGGAGTGCCGCCAGGACTTCTTCAATGGCAAGGAGCCCAACCGCGGCATTAACCCGGACGAGGCGGTGGCATATGGCGCTGCTGTGCAGGCTGGCATCCTAAGCGGTGAGGGTGGCCAGGACTTGCTGCTGTTGGATGCTTGGCGGCAGTAGACGGCGGGTGTGGGCAGTGGAGGGGCTGGGGCTTGACGTGAGCTTTTGAGGAGGACCTGCGGCGACAGCTAGAGTCTAGAGGGCAAGGCTGCAGGCAAACGCATGCAAGCACAGATCAATGCTTTGAAAAGTGGCCGAAGCAAGGATGTGACGCCCTTGACCCTCGGCATCGAGACTGTGGGCGGCGTCATGACCAAGCTGATTAGCCGCAACACAGTGATCCCCACGAAGAAATCCCAGATTTTCTCTACCTACCAGGACAATCAGCCTGCGGTGAACATCCAGGTCTATGAGGGCGAGCGGCCCATGACCAAGGACAACCATTTGCTGGGCAAGTTCGAGCTGGGTGGAATCCCCCCTGCTCCTCGTGGACAGCCTCAAATCGAGGCAGCCGTTTAAAGAGTTCTGAAAAGACCTGGAGCGCATGGAGAGCTGCAACATCACATAGCCATTTAGCCATTGGGCCATCTGCCGTGTTTTTGCATGTTCCCTGCAGGTGACGTTTGAGATCGACTCGAACGGCATTCTGAATGTGGGTGCAGAGGACAAGGGTACAGGCAAGAGCGAGAAGATCACCATTACCAACGACAAGGGTCGTTTGACTGAAGAGCAGATCGAGAAGATGATCCGCGAGGCCGAGGAGTTCGCGGACGAGGACAAGAAGGTCAAAGAGCGGGTGGATGCCAAGAACGCCTTTGACGGTTACGTTCACTCCATGCGCTCTGCCACTGAGGGCTCTGGAGACAACAAGGGCCTCAGCGAGAAGATGGACTCTGACGAGAAGGAGAAGATTCTGGATGCCTTGAAGGATGGCCAGTCCTGGCTGGACTCCAATCCCGAGGCCGACGCAGAGGAGATCAAGGAGAAGCACAAGGAGATCGAGGGAATCTGCGCGCCCATCGTCTCCAAGTACTACGGCGGCGGGGGTGCCGGTGGCGCTGGCGGCGCGGACGAGGACGAGGAAGAGGCGCACGACGAGCTTTAATTGGTAAGCGCCATCTCACCTCAGACCTGTAAATAGATCGAAGATCGCCTTCGCAGATAATGCCGTGGTGCGCCACCGTCTCTCAATAAACTGGCTTTGCAGCCAAAAAAACGGTTGGCAAAGGCCAAAGGTCCTTGCCTGATGCCTGACATCGTAAAAAGTGTGCCCAGATCTCTTTTAGGTTTCTCTTGGCAGAAGGGAAGTTCGGACAGGTCTCCTGCTGGAAGCTTGTCGTATGGCATGGTATGGCACATGCCGACTGCGTTGATACTCCGGCATTGCTCGAGCAGAATCTGAAAGCCTGATACTGCTCGTTAAAGGTAAGGCAAGCCTGGGCAGACTCATGTGGAAAGCAGCGGCTCTGATCGCTCTTGCGACTTTTGCGTCTGCCAAAGACGACGAGAAGAAGATCGATGGTCCGGTGATCGGAATTGACTTAGGAACCGGGCTGCACTAGTCGGTGGCTTCAGTTGATGTGAAGGTGTTGTCTAGGTTGTCATGGTTTCTGGAGCAGGGGTTCGGGAGTTGAAAGCCTTGTGGCAAAAGTCGAACGGCGTGGCTCAGCTGTTTGGGTGGCTAAGCTGAGGCACCACGTACTCGTGCGTGGGCATCTACAAGAATGGGCGAGTAGAGATCATTCCGAACGATCAGGGCAATCGTATCACGCCTTCTTACGTGGCTTTCACCGATGACGAGCGTTTGATCGGAGAGGCAGCCAAGAACCAGGCCACCATCAATCCCACCCAGACGCTCTTTGACGTGAAGCGCTTGATTGGCCGTCGCTTTAAGGACTCCACGGTGCAGAAGGACATCAAGCTCCTGCCGTACAAGATCGTGGACAAGAGCAGCAAGCCCATGATCGCTGTCAAGGTCAAGGGCGAGGAGAAGGTCATGGCTCCGGAGGAGGTGTCCTCCATGGTGCTTACCAAGATGAAGGCGACAAATGGTCAAATATCCTAAGCAGAGTCAAACATCTTGAATTCATGCAAGTGTGCCAGAACACTTTTAAGTTAGTTTAAGCAACGACGTGGCTCTGATTGGTGAAGTAGTTATTTATCTTGAAGGAGACGGCAGAGAACTACTTGGGCAAGGAGGTCAAGCACGCTGTTGTGACCGTGCCCGCCTACTTCAACGATGCGCAGCGCCAGTCCACCAAGGATGCTGGAACCATCGCAGGTCTCAATGTCTTGCGCATCATCAACGAACCCACGGCCGCGGCCATTGCATACGGTTTGGACAAGAAGACGGAGAAGAACATTCTCGTCTATGACCTGGGCGGTGGCACCTTCGATGTCTCCCTCCTGACCATCGACAATGGCGTGTTCGAGGTGGTGGCCACCAACGGCGACACCCACTTGGGCGGAGAGGACTTCGACCAGCGAGTGATGCAGCACTTCATGAAGATCTTCGAGAAGAAGCACGGCAAGGACATGACCAAGGACAAGCGTTCCATCCAGAAGCTGCGCAGAGAGGTCGAGAAGACCAAGCGAGCACTCAGCTCCACCCACCAGGCACGCCTGGAGATCGAGGCCCTCTACGATGGTGTCGACTTCTCTGAGACACTGACCCGTGCACGTTTCGAGGAGACAGCGCTATGCCGCTATGCCTTGCCGGTTTCAGGTCTCTCTCTGTTGGGGTAGCATGCAGTTGCTAGAGCTTAAAGCAGCGTTTGCCCCAACCTCTGCCAGGAGCTCAACAACGACCTCTTCAAGAACACCCTTGGCCCAGTGAAGCAGGTGCTGGACGATTCTGGCTTGAAGAAGAACCAGGTCGATGAGATCGTGCTGGTGGGCGGCTCCACCCGAATCCCCAAAGTGCAGCAGCTGATCAAGGCCAGGGAAGCGTTCGGGCGTAGCTACCAGTTTGTTGTTTGTTCATGTTGTTCGCCGTGGGAGTGCCGCCAGGACTTCTTCAATGGCAAGGAGCCCAACCGCGGCATTAACCCGGACGAGGCGGTGGCATATGGCGCTGCTGTGCAGGCTGGCATCCTAAGCGGTGAGGGTGGCCAGGACTTGCTGCTGTTGGATGCTTGGCGGCAGTAGACGGCGGGTGTGGGCAGTGGAGGGGCTGGGGCTTGACGTGAGCTTTTGAGGAGGACCTGCGGCGACAGCTAGAGTCTAGAGGGCAAGGCTGCAGGCAAACGCATGCAAGCACAGATCAATGCTTTGAAAAGTGGCCGAAGCAAGGATGTGACGCCCTTGACCCTCGGCATCGAGACTGTGGGCGGCGTCATGACCAAGCTGATTAGCCGCAACACAGTGATCCCCACGAAGAAATCCCAGATTTTCTCTACCTACCAGGACAATCAGCCTGCGGTGAACATCCAGGTCTATGAGGGCGAGCGGCCCATGACCAAGGACAACCATTTGCTGGGCAAGTTCGAGCTGGGTGGAATCCCCCCTGCTCCTCGTGGACAGCCTCAAATCGAGGCAGCCGTTTAAAGAGTTCTGAAAAGACCTGGAGCGCATGGAGAGCTGCAACATCACATAGCCATTTAGCCATTGGGCCATCTGCCGTGTTTTTGCATGTTCCCTGCAGGTGACGTTTGAGATCGACTCGAACGGCATTCTGAATGTGGGTGCAGAGGACAAGGGTACAGGCAAGAGCGAGAAGATCACCATTACCAACGACAAGGGTCGTTTGACTGAAGAGCAGATCGAGAAGATGATCCGCGAGGCCGAGGAGTTCGCGGACGAGGACAAGAAGGTCAAAGAGCGGGTGGATGCCAAGAACGCCTTTGACGGTTACGTTCACTCCATGCGCTCTGCCACTGAGGGCTCTGGAGACAACAAGGGCCTCAGCGAGAAGATGGACTCTGACGAGAAGGAGAAGATTCTGGATGCCTTGAAGGATGGCCAGTCCTGGCTGGACTCCAATCCCGAGGCCGACGCAGAGGAGATCAAGGAGAAGCACAAGGAGATCGAGGGAATCTGCGCGCCCATCGTCTCCAAGTACTACGGCGGCGGGGGTGCCGGTGGCGCTGGCGGCGCGGACGAGGACGAGGAAGAGGCGCACGACGAGCTGTAGCTCGGCACCGTTTTGATGCAGAATTCGTTTAAAATTCTTGTATATACCGGCTGCGAAGCCAGAGACATTAGGGAGGCCTAAGGCCTGCCATCACCTCTGCCCCGTGCCACGGTGCAGAAAACCGGTCATTCGTCGGTGTTTCGAGGTCTGCACATGTCTGTACTATCATTGCGACCACTCACTCATGGACAGCTCCTGTTGTTTTGATATTGTTGGTATAATATAGTGAGCCATGGAATGCCATGGAATGACGTCCCTTCATCCGAAACCTCAAATTCGGCGAAATGGTTTCAGTGGTCCACTACAGCTCTCATGCAGAACACTTTGTGCCTCGTTCCGTCAGTCCCGAAATATGTGCACACACACACTGCACACACAATGCACACGCAGGAATGCACACACACGTGTGATGGAATACGTGCTCAGACATGTGCTACATGGCACACGACAGGGGCATCCTTTGGCTTATGTGAGATCTGTGAGCGCAGGTGTCATGTCCGACGAAGCACAGGAGGTGGCACATGGGGCTATCCGGAGCTGCAGCAATTTTCATTTGATTTGGCATCTCTTTCCCTCCAACCTGCAACATCCCGCAACCTGCAGGCGTTGTCTCAACTAGGAGACAGACTAGGCCCAGCAAATCTCAGCAAAGTGTGAGAAGCATCGCCGATTCTGGTAGCGTTTCCTTGGTCTCGCCTCACTTCTTGGGCAGGTCTTGAGGTCGAGGACACCGAGAAGATTTTCCATGGTGTCGTGGAGGACCATTGCTCAGAGCAATCCAATTGCGCATCACTGCAGCGTGCCGAGCACGAATTGGCACGAATGTCTCGCAAGGAGCGGCTCAAGGAAATGATGATTCCTGTGCGAGATGCCTGGGAGGAGGCTACTTACACAAAAGAGGCCATACACTCGCGTGAGCGGAGCTGACCGTAGCTGACCGTTCGAGATCCTTTGTTCCCAGAGGCACTTATGCAGCTGAACAAGGAGCGTGGCAAGGCGCGAGATGAACAGATGTAGGATGACTCTAAGACGACGTGGATTCGTGCGCAGCGCGTGAACCACCATGAGCCGCCATGAGGCACCATGACTTCTGGCTCTGTATTTCAGGACTTGGGTGATGATCCAACTGCCGATGGCACCGGGGCTGAGCTTGGCATCAAGGACGCAGCTGCTGCCTTTGCAGGTTCTGTTGCTGTTTCAGCCATTGAGCTTGTGGTTGCTTGTTCGGTCTGAACTTGTTGGCGTTGTGGTTCTGGATGTGGTTGTTGTGATCGTGGCGGCGGCGGTGGTACTTGCGGGCCGCAGTCAGCATTCGGAAAGAACGAGTCTGTGCCTCGAGCTGCGAAGCCTGCAAAAGTCGAAACTTGGTTCCTGCCAGCCGCTGGAGTTCTCTTAATGATGAGATCGGTGATTGAGCTGGCAGTCGAGATTCTGCTCGACCGGTCGATGCCGTGCTGCGGCAGATCCGTTACTTCGTTTCCCGTTCGTTGTGTCGGCATCACCGCTTTCTTTGAAGCGTAGCTGCTGCGTCATTCAGTTGTGGTTGCAGTGTTGATTCTGGCGCTGGTTTTTCGGGTGAAGCAGAACACTTCGAAAGCAACATCGAGTACCGACCCGAAGGACAGTCCGCCCCTGGAAGGTGTGCGTGGCTACAAGCTCATGGAGGACAGTGGCATGACTACGCTGGTTGGACAAACTCGAGCAGGATTCCGATGCTCTACACTGTGCTAACTTCTGACTGCAGGAGCTGACGAAAGTGGCAAACTTCTATACAAACAACAAGGCATCGACCCTGCACGGTCTGAGTATTTGGGGCAGGTCGTCGCAACCACAATCACGCTCATGCTTTTCAGATCCCAGACAGTACGTGTGGTGATGAATGTGCATATGTCACCTGTCGTATGTCAGTGGAGTACGGGTGCACACTGCTCGGGAGGAGGCTTGCCCCCTCCTGCCCAGCAGAAGAAGAGTGAGTGCGTGAGAAATCCATCTTATCAATTGAGATGACCAGTTGTGCCCTCTCAGGAAACACCGTGTCAACCGCCCTTTGTTTGTCAAGTCTGTTGATGATTGGCGCTTTTGAGAACATGAGCCAAAAGCCAAGACGAAGTTAGTTGTGTGTATCGGACGACAGAGGCACACGTGACGCGGAGTTGTTCATAATGACGAGTGCATGAGTGATTGAGTGAGTGAGCCAGTGAGACATGTAGCGCGTCTACACCAGATACTCGAGAGTGTCGTCAGCCAATGGGTGAAGAACGGCAGGTGTTGAAGGAAGATGCAGTGGACAAGACTTCAGATGACGAGGATGCGTGGGCGGCCGCGTGCGCCGAAATGAGTTTCCTTTGCTGAGCTGATCGTTGTTGCCGTCTCGAAGGGCATGCTTCGGCTTTTGTTGGGACAGGTATCCTGTTCAAGTTGGCAAGTGGATTGAGGACAAAAACAAGGAGGCCGGACTAGACGGCCAAGTAGATGAATAAGATCGGGAAGCCTGGTGCTGGAATGTTCTTAGACGCTTTTATGGGGGTGCAGGAGATGTACGGCATTTTCGTCTGGAACGCGATCACTTGCCAGGATGTTCCTGCGTGGTGGTCATGTGCATGCAGTATCAAGATTTCCCATCCCCTTTTGAAGAAATTGCTGGCAGTGCGACATGCAAACTTGTACCAGCACAGCATTTCCCAGAAGTCATGAACAAGGATGGCCGTCACATCAGGATGCCAGATCAAGTGCGGACTTGCTTGGTGGCTCAAGGTAGGTACCCTCAGTCCAAGACCGCGCAACAGAGCCTTGGGGCTTGGCTTTGAGATGTCTTGTGGTGCTTCGTTGAGCATCGAGATGCAGTGTCTTTTGACGTTTTGACTTAGGAGAAGCATGGCGCCCAAGTTTGACCCGAACGAGGTGAAGGCGCACCCTTTGTGTATGCAAGGCAAAGAAGCCAGCTGATCTCAACCACAACCGTAATCTTGAGCAGGTCGTCTTCTTGCGACAGTATGGCGGTGAACAGGCAGTGGGCGATGTTTTTTTTGTTCTCTCCCTCGCGGTGGCTGAAGACAAGATACAGCACACTGGTGCCCATATGACGTCTGCAACGACCAGAGTATCAAGCACTGAAGACTGAAGACTCCAATGTAACATCTGAACAGCGAGGGTATGCGAGGTATGCGAGGTATGCGAGGATCAAGAAACAAGGAATGTGAAGTCCTGACAGGCACCATCGTCAGTGTTGGCACCCAAGGTGGGTCCCCTTGGCATGTCTCCCAAGAAGGCGGGGGTGTCAGACGATGTCAGAAGACCTTAACTCTGATGCTCGCCCCTCAGCAGGTCGGTGACGACATCGTGAAGGGCACAAGCCAGTGGAAGGTCAGCCTGCTAAGTCACTACCTCTGTGCCCACTACTGGCCCAGCCGGAATTGCAGGGCATCCGCGTGACCGTGAAGCTGACGATCCAGAACCGGGCAGCCAAAGTGGACGTGGAGCCGAATGCCACCAGCCTCATCATCAAGGCAGTGCAGCTGCTACATGTCAACCGTCCCGGTACTTCGCTGAGTCGCAGGCTCTGAAGGAGCCTTTGCGTGATCGTAAGAAGACCAAGAACATCAAGCACAGTGCGCTCCACAGACTTGGGACACTTGGGACACTGCAGCGATGGTGAGAGCGGGGGCATTCAAGGTGGCAACCTGACCAAGGCCACCTGCTTGTGGAACATGCCAGTAGTACTCCAGTCATTGGCGGGTAAAAAGCTTTGAAGCATGTCTTGCAGAACGTGTTCCTGGACATCTGCCGGCAAATGAGGAAGAAGAGCCTGGCCAAGGACCCTAAGCAGATACCGGAAAACTGTCCGTTGCTGCTGGCCGGTGCCGATGGTCAGGAGTTCAAGGGAACCGCCAAAGAAATCTTGGGCACATGCTTCGCTGTCGGCTGCACTGTTGACGGCCAAAAGCCCATTGTGGAAACCTCAGAGCAGCAAGGAAGCCTCCCACTAACCTGTCTGATGCATTCCGAACTACCCAGGCGCTGCAAGAAGCAATTGACAACGAGGAGTCTGAATCCGAGTACTACGAACACATAAACTTTCGTGATGCATCTCTTGAGGTTGTGGCACGGTCACACCCTGGCTACTCAGGTGGGAGCTGCCAACGGAGTGAGCCTAGCAAACTGCGCGGGAGGGATCACAAAAACGAGCCTTTGCGCTTTGCAGTGTTTGCTCCTCCCAGTGATTCGGCCAAACTGACGGCCCCCAAGCTCCGATTCGTTTTTTCTTTTGGTTCTTCAGGTTCCCCCCCTGAGCGGAGTTCCCTCTTGTCTGGTAATCTGTGATGTTCTGAGCCTCCTGCCAAAGCAGGACACCACCGCACGGGACAAGTGGACTGAAGCAAAGGCAGTTGTTGGTGGCATTTTGGGGCTCAGCGCCAACCTTACTGAGACTGGTCCCACTGCGACAGCAACACTGGTCAGCCCGGAGAGCATCGTGATGTTTTGGCTTTGCAATGCACCGATGCTCCCTTGCAGTTCTTCACGTCATTTCACATCTCAGTGCTTTTGTCACACGTGTCATTAGACGTCGGGGGTGGTACTGTACATCGTTGCAGCATTGGTAGCCTTGCTGGTTCTCCATCCAGTGCGCCCGAAGACACTGGATTCAACCTTGACTTTTCAATACAAGGCCGTACAGCCCAGGTTCAGATTCTGGATGCTCATGCTGGCTCGCCCCGCTCTGGGAGAAGGCGGCTTCCAAAAAATGCCCGCGCCCACTGCGGGAAAGGCGGTCTCGAAAAAGTGCGCACGGAAATCCTGGCACGTGCCGCTCTGGCAAAAGGCGGGCGATGCGTCCAACGGATTCAACCCCAAAAGCCTTTAAAACCCGAAGACCTAAAACACCGAGACCTTCAAACACGGCGCAGGGGAGACAAAATCTTACCATGTTCGGCGTTTATAGGAGCCTGTAAGGGCAAGCATGTTATGGAAAATCGCTGTAACGGCCGGCAATGCTGGATGGCCGCGGGGGAGGGGGGGCGCCTGGCCACAAAGCAACATTTGGGGTCCTTGCTGTTTGGATCTTCGCCGTCATTCATTTGGACCATGATTCATTCTGAAATGCATGTGTGTGCGCGTCTCTCCATTGTTGGACCCATCACTCCTTCCTGTTCTTGGAGACATGTTTGGGCAGCGCCACGTCAGCGTCAGGTCCGAAGTTGCAGAAGAAGGCCACGCTGTCCTGCGCTGTGTTGCGCAGCGAGTTTGTATGCCAGGGTGCAGTTTGCAGGTCTTGGTTCGAATGGTGTCCAGGTGGTGCCGCTTGGCACGAAGACATTTGACATCTCTGCCTTCTGCATTGCATATGCATTGGGAGACGTCAGTCGAGAGCGTGCCTTGCAGGCAACATGTTCATCAAAAGCAAAGTGCAGGAGCTGCACTTGCTGAGTGGCTTAGAGAAGCTGCGTGCTCATTTTTGGCACTGTTGCACATGTGAGACCGTTGGACGCAGTTGAGGAGCAAGGGGAGCTGAAAAAGGACGATGTGTCCATGCTCACTGACTGGGTCGATGACCCAGCACGATGAGCAGGTATTGGGAAATGCCAAGTAGTGTCACTGAATGACCCATGATCGGGCCTACCGTCTGCAGCGTGAAGGTTGTGATGGTGGAGGCTTGTGTGCTTTAACTGGCGCTGTTTAAGGCGCCCATGTTCTTCGGCATTGAGAAAGATGTCACGATGGACATGGTCCAGGCGTGTGTCTCCTGACACGTACACACTGCTGAAGCATCACAAGAGGCAGGCGTGCCCTTCCGTATTCTCGACGCGGGTTTGCTGTTGATTTTGGGCTCAAGGACCGAAGACATATCATATATCTTGAGGAGAGAACCAGTTTAGTGGAATCTTTTCAAAGGCTTCCAGGTCTGTGTGCCAAAAGCAGAGCCCGAACCCCAGATAGTCAGATATCTGGACAGGGCAGTCTCTCATGCAAAACAGTTTTGGCTCTGGTGGCAGGCACCTTCTGGCAATCTGATCTTGTACGGGTGTTCTTGTGTTTTTGGTCCATCAAGGTCGTATGAGTGAGATGCAGGGCTCCGTGGTTCTGGCCTTAGCCGGCAGCGCGCCTGTGAGACATGTGTAATGCGAGCTATGTGACACTCAGTACAACTACAGTAGAAGCAGCTGCATTGAGTTGATCTCCAGCAAGTCCCACCCACAAAAGAAGGGGAATGCGGGCTGCAAGTCCTAAAACGTGGAGTAGCGAGCCCCCCAAAACCTTGAAAAGAGCGTGGGTGGCAAAACACAAGAAGGTCACAGCAGGCTAAGCACAGTTTGATGTTTAAAATATGTTTAATTGACCCTCTGTTGTTCTCCTTGGAACTGGTACTCTCCAGGCCCGGGAGGCGCGATAGATGTAAAAGGCATTGGCTTCAAACTCAACCCGACACATGCACGACACCCAGAAATCTCGCGTTCAAAAGAATCTTCAAGAATGTTAAGGATTTGTGGGGGTTTGCTTTGCTGCAGCTAGCAAGCTTGAGCGTTGAACTGAAAGCACCGTCGCTCTGGTGCTTACCGAACAGGCACCTCCTTTCCGCAGAGACTTCAAAGTTATGCGGCTTCTTTGCGTCTCAACTTACTGTCAAAACCTCATAACCCGAGAATCTGCAAAGAGATTGAAGACTCATTATACTCACTGTATGATGTGAGGTCACCCGGTAGGTTTTGTGAGCTGCAGTCTTGGAGTAGAGTTGATCAAATCTGTCGAAGCTTCAGTCGTGAACCCAGGGCTTCATGGCTTCAGGTCTACAGTTTGGTTTGGGCCCCATCGATCCAGACGCCCTGTGTCTGGTTGATTGTATCACAGTTTTCTGGAATTCACTCAGCTCACTGCCGAGGCACCTTCTTATTCGTCCTTCTCGGCATCTGTGCCAGCTGCGCCATTCGGCCAGAATGGAAAGCTTTCATTGCTTGCTTCGCACATGGTACGGGAAGCAGGGAATTCAGCTGGCCTTTCTAGCCCCTAGAACAAAGCGAACATGTAAGTTCCCGGAACCCCCCCCCTACCCCCGACCCCTGCAACTCAACTCAAGCCCTTGCTATGCAGCGCGCCAAGCTTCCATGGTGACAAAACGAGCGACGATGGAACCTCGCCGCAGTTGCTGCTTGAAGTTTGACAGGATCTTTTTTGAATAGCGACCGCTAGACCCTCCTGGCTGATCTCCTCATGCAAGATCAGACGGACCTGCTGCACGCACTGGACCACGCGCGAGCCGGTCGGAGGTGTCGCCGGCACACCGCCCTGCCCCCATCTCACCAACTTCACAAAGCCCGCTCAAACCGCAAGCCCTTCAAAAATACAAACACACACACACACACACACACACACACACACACACACGCACACACACCCGGCCTCCACAGCAAAACGAAACTCCCCGTTTGCACCGCAAAAGTCACACCCGATTGTCGCAGCAAACTAACAGCGCCCGCCCGCTGCCACGGCCCCTCAACAAGGCAGCCGCCACCACTCTTACATACGCTTACCTGTAGCATTCTTGCAGAAAAGGTTGCTTCCAACCTCTTCACTGTGGAGACCGCGAACATAACGCATCTTGTCAGACTTATGAGGACTTACCAGCAACAGGGGTTGCCGTGACAAATCTCGGGGTGATCTCAGGAGGAAAGAAAGCAGAAACCTGGGACTTGTCGTCGCCGATCCCTCAGTGATTCGGAGCCGTGATGTTGGCTCCACATTGATGCCTCGCGATGTAATCTTCCTTTGGCAGGTTTGGACCTCAACGTTCTGCATGTGGCTCATGTGGCATGCTCAGTTTAGGCTTCGTGTCATGTCACTGTCACGTCATAAACTCCAGTTTGTCAGGTGGGCTTGTGTTTACATGCACCAGATGGTTCCGCTGATGGAACCCATCCACATAGTGAAATGAGCAACGATCGATTTGAGTAGCTTTTGCGTAGCCTCAGTTGTACATCTTGGCAAGCCGAGCCCTGTGCGGGCGCACCAGGCTTGCTCCGCACAGTGGTGAGAGACAAAGTTTGTACAGAGCTCTCCCCTCGGAGCAGGCGTTTCACTTCTGTTTGCAGCTTGCAAAGGCTTGCAATGATAATGCAGCAGGATTCCTGACATGCCTTCGCGGAACAGTTAAAGGATCGTGCGCCTGCTTCATTGGAAGGTCCAGCAGTATTGAGGCGGCCATGTGAGCCATGCGTCATGAAGGCTGCCAACAAGAGCCTGCTGCAGAACAAGGCTTCCATTGTTTGGAGTCTGTTTCGACATCAAACTCCATGCCAGACCAAAGACAAATTATCCACTTCTGCAGGTGCTGAAGATCTTGAACAAGCCCTCTGTAACGCCAGAGGATTTGAGCAAACTCCGGGCAGAAGCCGGTACCTTAAGCACGCCGCAAGCGTAGTGTTAAGATGTTTTGGTTCTGTTAACACTATCCAGAAGCAAACAGTAAACATGTTAAAAAAGGATTTTTTTAGACCGTAGATGGATTTGACTGACACGTCCGAAAAAACTCGAAAACCAATGAGATCAGAATGAGATCAGATGAGATGGCTTAACTGAGTTTCTGTTTTTTTCTTTGCTAATTGGCTGTGGTTCAAGTTTCCCAGAAAGCAAGGGCTGGTGAGCTAGTCTTTTTTTGGGATCCCAATTTTGAAATATTCTGGCTGGGCCCCTTGCGGCTGTGGCTTCACCGTTTCTTGTGCTCGTCTGGCATGTGTTCCTCATATGTGTTCTCGTTTCTTTTGTCTGCCTGCGAAGCATTTTTTAGATCTTTGTCTTCCCTTATTTTTTTTTGTGAATGAGCCCCATGTTTTTGCAGGATTCCAGGATTTCGGACCCCTGACCCAGGGGACCGGATCAGAAGCAGATCGAATGAGAAAAACACCCACAAAGAGATGGACCAACCAGCTGCAGCAGAACAGAAGGAGAATCAGTTTTAAATTCGAAGCCCAAACGTGCAGTTCCATCCTGCCCCTTCCAAGGCTTCCAAACCCTAAACACCAAGCAGCCTTGGAGTTTGCCTAAGCTGTCGCACGCCGAGTTTGCAGCCTACTGTGTTTTCTCATTTGCCTCTCATTTGGTTTCTGATTTTGTTCTCATTTTTCCAGTTTTTGTACAGTTGAAGTTTGTTCGGGCCATGGTTCTAAAGACCCCACACCTCGCGCCTCGCCGTGAGCGGCGAGGCATGCCCATCGAGTGATGCGGTTCATGTGCTGAGAGGTTGACGAATGGGACCTGGAAGTGGCAAAAGACTTGGAGCTTTCCAGGCCACAGCTTCGGTGGGCTGCTTAGCCTTCAAAGGAGCCTCAGGAAGGTCACAATGCAGGAAGCCATGTACCGTGTCCCACTCCCCAGGTCCTTGTTCAGAGTCGAGGTCGCGTCCGTGGTTGAGGCGCGTCGGTGGCATTGTCCTAGGTCCCAGTACCCGAGTGACACGCCTCGGAACCAAGTCGAAAGCAGAGAAGATCTCCCCGGAGAAAACCCCCGCCGCAAGTCCTGAAAGCTCATGATCTCGGATGTGCTAGGGTTCAGGAATTCAGGTTTCAGGGGTTTAGGGGTTTTGGGTTTTAGGGTCTCGGGTCAGGGTTTGAGTTTAGGGTTTGCGGTGAAGGGTTTGGGTTTTACAACCTGTTTCATGCCCTCCTGCTTTGGATGCAAAGTATTCTAGGGCCTAATTATGAGTCTTGGGGTCATGTTGGTAGAAAAGGTTTTAGGGTTCATGACTTCAAGGTTTCAGGGGGTAGGGCTGCCAGGTGGTTTTAAACGTTTCAGGACTTAAAAGGTTTCAACGTTTTTAATGGTCAAGCCCATTTCCCATTTTGTAACTGTTTTCTGACTGCTGCTTTGTATTCTGACTCGGCATTTTGGGTTTTCGGTCCAGTGTTCAAGCCTGGTGGCGCGAATATGTAAGTTGATAAAGCCGGCCAAGCACATGAACCCTAAATCCATGCCTGCCTGGAATAGGATCCCGATCTCAGCGACGAGCAGAAGGCAAGTGCTTTGGGGGCTGTACAGGCATACGCGGTGAAGAGACATGAAGAAGGGGTCTCATGGTCAGTTGCCGCGCAGTTTCCTGCCCAAACTAAGCAGCATGTGTGAGGTGGATGGCATTGAGGCCTCCAGGGAGGCTTTTGGGCTTGCAGAGAAGGAGGCGCAGCTGCACAGAAGGACCACTTTGCCCGCCTCTACATGCCTCAAGGGTGCTCTTGTTGGGCAGGCCATGTCGGAGATGCAGGATTTGATAAAGAGCCGGTGTCGATCATGCCTGGCCGCGCACCTAGTGAGACTTGGCAATTGAGCCATGACAACTGGACGACTTCATAGCAGCATTTTTGCAGTTTCCGCGCTCTTGGAGGTCAATGCCTCTGGGGACTTGTTGCAGGAGCCAATTTAGTATGATCATGCATGACCGGCTCTCCCGCTCTTCATATCCGGCAAGAATACAGTGTAATACTCGTACAGCTGTGCATATGACGTCTAACCTTTCTTGACAGGAGAACGAATCTGCCGCAGTTGATCAAATGCAAAGGCGCGGCTCTCAGAATGCGGTTGTGATTGGGCAAAAACCTATCCACAGTGCGTGTGCGGCTTACACGGCCTAGTTGAACAGTTGCAAAGCGGTCCCCAATAGGAGGGAGATGTTCGGCAGCATAGTGCGGATGCTGAACAGGTTCAGCTGACTGCGGGCATTGGTGGAAATGGCCTGCCGGGCAACAGATGCCAATGAAGGGCAGGGGAAAATGCAGAAACCTATGACGAGCTGCGTCATAGCCGTCATAAGTAGTCAGAGCACAGTGGGTAGCAGCGAGGTGGAACCCTATCGTTTCCGCCTCCTGCTGCTCATCGTGTTCTCCAGATCATAATTGCCCATCCCCCATTTTTTCCTGCACCACCATCTCACCGCCTCCACCGCCTCCACCACCTCACTGCATGTCGGCTTGGACTATTCGGGGTGCGCCCATGTTGGGCCAAGGTACGTGGCGGAGCCTTCTGAGCTTTTAAGTGCCGTTGGCCTTGGACAAGCGCCCGGCCAACTTGCCACCCGTGTTCGCACGGGGGCCTCTTCCAAACCCGGATCTGCTGCGGGGTGCGCCCATCTGCCCTAGTGTAGGGCCGATTTGATATGAGATCATATGAGGTATGGTCCTTATCGTCTTTAGTGTGACTGGGTGTCCTTTTGGGGCCCAGGCTTGCATTCGACTATGCAGGCAGGGAGGGAACCTTGGAGATCTGGTGATCTTCAAAGAAGCCTTTTTGGCTGAGCTCCAAGGGTCCCTCCCCGCATTCATGGTGACCCCCCCCCCCCCCGGATGTGTGAGCTTGACTGCAGCACATTGTCTTGTGCCAATGGCTTCATGCCTGGAGTCTAGGCTGGAGCTATTAGCGGCTTTTGGTCTATCAGCTGGTGTCGAGTTTGGAGCTCGGCTTCGACATTCCACGAGCAGTGCAGCGCTTGGGCTCCTGGATGTGCTTCGCTGCTTCACAGGTTTCAGGACGATTGGGAAGTTGCGCCTGCCATGAGGACCCACAATTGCAGCAAGCTGCTGCGTCAGTCCTCTGAGCTTCACCCTGCTAGGCAAAAGCTAGTGAAGATGTATGTGGCTGGCTCGAAAGGGCGAACACCTGACACGAGGCCGGACATTGTAGCCTGGCGACTGCGCGCTAGAAAAGGCCTCTGCTGTGTGCCACCGCAGGATGCTGGAGCGCGTGCTCAGCCTGGTCCATGCCTGAGTTTCCCTAAGCCAGGTGCCAGCAGTTTTTGGTGTGTAGTGGCTCGATCAGTATTTGGAACGTCTCTACTCATGCAAATCAGGCAGAACTCTAAGTAGAATCTCGGTTCTTCGGTGGCTTCGAGCAGAGTCACATCTGTGTGGCACCTGTGGAAGATTTGTTCTCGTGTCCATGGTGCATGGTTTCTCAGCCTTAAAGGGCTGTGCTCAAGTGCACGGCACTGGCCGTCGTGGTCAGCATCGAATTTTCAAGAGGATGCAGACCAAGGCAATGTTTTGTGAGAATTTCATTAGGCTGGTGCAAGCACCGGCCCAAAGCTGATGTAGATGGAAGATGAGCTGGCGAGGCTCCAAGTCTCAATGGTGAGCAGCTTGCCGTTGCTGGAAGAGCTTTTTGAAGAGTGAGCTGGAAAGTGGCGCCTTGTTCTGAGGGCCCCTCTTGGGATCGCAACGCTGGAGTTGTGTTGTACATTGGTTGTACCTACCATAAGCCATTCGGCTCACAACAAGTCCGCCGGTCGGAACGTGAAATCGCAACTCAGCTGCAGTCACTACAGTCCCATGAGTCATGAGTCTTGATCGCTTGGTCAAGCTTGCGGGGTGGCATCGGGGCTGAGTCGGACCGCAGGCAGCCATGGCGAAGAAAGAGAGACTAGGTGCGAAGACTTCCTGCGCATTTTTCGGCACACAAACGCTCTCGAGTGAGCTCTCGCGTTGTCTCAGCACTTTGCAGGCGATCTCCTGGCTGCTGCGGCATCCTTTACTTCTTTAGTGACCGTGCTGATTGGGGTGATCTACCTCTACGCGCCCGCTGGCATGTCTTGCTTTTGACAAGTCTGCTCGTACTAGCAGGTACTAGCAGGTACTAGCAGGTACTAGCTTTCTCCTGCTTTGAGAAGCAAGTCCAGACATGCTTCCGCTGCAGTGGCATTTCCCCTCCTTCAAGCTGAACTTCCAAAGCTGTTACTTCGAGGATCCGGACGAGTGCCCCTGTCACCTACTGTCCCTGCTCTTGAATTCCTTGCGTTCAGTGGGTTTGGGGGGGTCGTTTGCCCCTACTTATGGTGCAGTCAGAGGGCGTTTGCGCAGGATTGTGCGCGGCTGCAAGGTACACCTTCTGGGTTGACTGCAACTCCACTTGGTCGAACAACTGGGGTATGGTGCTGGGCCCAGCAGCCAGCATGCGCGTCGTCAGTAGCAAGTTTTGTTGCAGGCGTTCTGTGCCTGCGATCCGCAAAGTTACGAAAACGAAGCCGTCCCATGTGATTTCCGGGGTTTTCGTCTAAACCCTCTCAGCCCATGCCCCATACCCTACGTGTTAGCACCTTTTGAGTTGCGACGTTTTCCTTCGTCCGAAGGCACGACGACGAAACGTGACTTTCCGAGTTACGAAGCAAAGCCTCCCGACTTGATGTCCGAGACACGATATCGAAGCCTCCCCATATGATTCGCACTGCTTATTTTTTGTTGTGTGTTCAAAGACACGATACCGAGACGTTTTCGTGTGTTCCAAGTTACGAAAACGAAGCCGCAGGGATGTGCGAAGTTTGGTACGCCCAAGACACGACAACGAAACCTCCCCTTGCGATGTATGCGACGTTTTCGTCTAAAACCCGAACCCCGATGTACCCCAAACCGGCAATGAAACCTCTTCAGTTTGCGGTGTTGTCAGTTTGCTACATTGCACGTGCAGACAGCATCAGGCAGCATCAGACAGCATCAGACAGCATTAGACAACAATGCCTTCCGGAAAGTTTTTAAGCGCTCCATTCCAACGCAAGATGCGAGGCTTTTGGATGTTAGGAAGTTCCACAGGCACAAAAGATGCGTTCCAACCTAAGTTGCGAGGTTCGAACGTGCCAAAGGCAGATATCGATTCGCTCCCAATGTCATTCACGAGCTTTCCGTTAGGTAATTTGAGAGGTTTTAGAACGTTCTATGGGCAGAAAACGATGTGTTCCAACGTAAGTTGTGAGATTTTCGAACGCTTTATGGGCAGAAAGCAATGTGTTCCAAGCAATTTGCGAGGTTTCGATCATAGCGAGCGAGCGTTCCACGAGACTTGCGAAGTTTTCGAGTGCCAGAACAATGCGTATTGGGCGACGCTCTGCCACGGCGACGCCCCAGGCCCACCGCCGCGAGTTTGGTCGATCTTACGACAAGTAGGACTCCGACAAGACCCGTGTGAAATGCAGGGGGAGACTTTTTCGCAACAATTTTCCGCAGAGCTCTCGCCGGCCTGGCACCCCTGCCTTATGAACATCAAGTTTCATTAAACGACAAAACGAAGAAAAGAAGATCAGAAGAAGAGAAAACACGAGGAAGACAAAGAAAGAAAACGCAAGTCCGCTGAAAAACCTTGCGCAACGCTCTCGGGAATATCCTCTCCTTCTCCGATATTTCAATTCTCGTAGGATAGTCGGTGTTTTGTGTTTGTTGTCATCTGGCACAGGGCTCGCAGTCATGTTTTCTTGGCTTCTGCGTGAAGAATCTTTAGTGCTGCTTGGGAGCTTTCGGCACAGCGTGGCCCGCTGCACCTGCTAACCTTCCGATTGTTCCTCATTCTTGGTGATGTTAGTGGTCAATTATTCAAACATATCCTCTGAAACATGACCTGTCCGCGTTTCTGGCGTCTGCTTGAGGAATGCACCCCTTTGCTGCATTTTAAGCCACCCGCATAGCTTGACCTTTGGACGTCTGACCCGGAAGTTTTTTCTGACTCGGTTAACCGCATCAGAGTACCTAAGCAGCGGAGTAGTGCTGGCTTTGCTTCGCGCATACCCTATAAAAGGGCGTGCTTGATGCTTGATGCACATAGGCAAAGTTCGAGTGCGTGTTTCAATCGGCTTGATTTGAGCTCTGTCAGGTTGGAATTCCAGTCTGGGTTCCGTTCATTGCGGATGCCTCATTCTCCGCTCACAAGCGTTGCAATCTTCATGTCATAAATAACTTGTGGCCATGCCGAATATGAGGTTGGGGTAGCCGGTGCTTTGATGTACTACCCCATGATGATGGAGGCCGAGCACGGAGCTTTGTGCGGCTTTTCACATCTTTTCTTGCCCGGACATGCCCTTCAGGTGGTTGGATTCCCCAAGAACTTTCTGCAGCATGGCATCTTTCTGCTCGGTTCCAAGAGTTTGTACTTCCACCGCGAAGATCAGCTGCTCAGCTATCATATTATCTCTGGTTCCAAACTCAGGATAGTTCAGGCATTCTTTGCCAATATTGGCTACTGCGGCAAGCTGGGCGTGGCAACAGGCTTTGCCAGCATCGCCGTTGGTTCCTTGCCCAGACATGGTCGCCATTGGCAACATTGTGAGCAGTGGCGTCTCAACCTCAAACCCATTCAAACCTCCACCTCTTGAAGTACAGACCCTTCGTCGTGAGCTGTGAAGGTTGTTGTTTCACCTTAAGGCCTTAACTGCAACAGCTGTGACCTATGCCTCAAAAGCATGCCTGCTACTTTGTGTTCATTTGGCGGGCCTTTTTAAGACATGGCTCGCTTACATATCTAGGGTACCTCAAAAAGTACCTCAGAAGGCATAATTTGAAAGTACCCAAGCCGAATCCTTGAACTTGAAGAAAGATGGCCACGATCATCTCTTTTCAGTTTACAATACGGTCGTTCTCCGAGGGCGCCACAATCCCAGGATCCAGAAGAAGTTGAATTGCTCAAATGGCAGATGGGCTTCCCGTTATGCCAAATGGCCCAGGAGCAAAGCTCGTTTTGGGGTACCGCATCAGTACAGTGCCGTTTCATTTGATATTCACGGGCATAGTGTGCATCGTCAGCTTTGTGCACAGGCGTTCGCGAGCCTGAGGTTTTGCGATGTACGATTTTGACTGGTTTCAGCACTGATCCAATGCCCTGTTGTCAGGCGTTCGTGTTCTCAGCATCAATGCTTCACATGTGTGACACGGGACATGCTTCACTCGTTTCTCGTTGGCTTTCCGATGCGCGTCCCCTGTCGATGCGAGCGCGAGTGCGGGGTGGGTGTCGTACATCAAGAAACCATGAATAGAACACAAACCCATTCCCCAGACTTACGTGTTCAGTTGCTGTCCTGTTTCGCTCTAACCTGCGTGTTTTTTCATGCACAACTGTCCCAGAGAAACACATGTGGCATGGATGGAACCCGAGGCATCATTGCCATCATCGCAAGCGGCTTCCATGTGAAGAGCACGCGCATGCAGGCCCAAGTCGCGTAGCTGGAACGCGCGATGTCACGTGCGGCGTGCGGTTGCGGCAGGCCTTGGAGAGTAAGACGGCGGGCATGACCTACGCGATCCAAGAGGCTGTGAATTGCAGAGATGCGCCACAGGTGTCAGCCTTGTTAACGCATTGGACAGGATGATGAAGACGATGAGTCTGAAGAATCTGAGTGAGTAAAGGTAAAACAGAACCGTGTGGCCGCAGCAGGAGGACTGGACGGCCTGCTAGCAAGCCGCCATAACCCAGGCATTGCAAGAAAGCATGCGCGTCGGGTAGTTGATGGACTCCACAGCCTTCCTGCTTCGAGACAGATTTCTCGAAATGTCGGAGAAGCTGGAATTTTCCAGAGCAACTCGCGGCCAGTCAGTTGACATCAGTTGACAGCTTCCACAACCAGCTAACTGCCACTTGCATTGTGGAGTTCGGTTCGGCCGTCGACGCTCAGTGCGTCCACCAAAGCTTCGGTGCATGTTTAATGTGTTCGAACGACACTGAAGGCATATGCTGCATTTCTTGCCTTAGAGGCAATGTGCCTGCAAGTGCCGAGTAGTGAGTCCAGCACATCGTCCAGACGCTGTTGGCTTGCTTCGGCCCAACCACTGCAAATGCGCCCCCATACCTTCGAAAAATGTTTCCACGGGTGGGTGCAGTTCGTACATGTGACATTTCTAGATTCAGAGCTTATGGCCGGCAAAGCGCACTAGTGATGCTTGGCAATGTGGAATGCCGGATACTGCATGATAATATGTATATATGTCTAAAGGCATAGGGTAGAACTGCCCTGGTACCATCCTCATCCGACTCCTGTTCCTCAGACTGGGATAGATATTCGCATCAGCTCCCAAGGCCAGTTCTAGCTAGAGTCCTTGGAGTCTGCCTGAAACCAGGCCAGTATGTCTTGGAAACTGGTGCTGTTCAGGAGTTGTTTGCCCTCCGTCCGCAGCGAGAGTAGCCAAGAACTCCTCGTCGCTTCTGTACTCTGAGCTCGATAATCCGAGCAATGGGGGTCCTGGGCTTATCCTCTGCCAAATCTATTTGTCTATTTGTGATTCGAGCTCATGGCAGACTCAATTGACGCAAGTCTGATGTCGAGGAGCAGTTGGAAAGGCCTGCAGAGGTGCGGGCCTTCCAATACACAGTGGCAAGCCGCGGCAAGCCCTCCATTCGTGTTGGTGTGCGTGTTGCCAAGGTCAGTGCCGATGACTGCTGTGCTCGAGTGAAAAAGAACATGAAGTCTGGGCCAGGCCACGGTCATTCTGGAGAATTGGACAAGTGAACTCGGTTTGGAGCTCCCGAGCTGCCAGGAATGTTTCTGAGTCCACCGGGTGTGCCGCGCTTACGCTGTGCTTCATGTTCGCGCTACGCGACCCTCCTCAGAGAAGGTTCGGGCAACGGTAGGAAGGGCGCGGGGTTATGGAGCAGCAGGGCTAGGGCTAGGGTTATGGGGGGTGCCGGAATGCCAGAAAAAGTGAGTAAAGTGATGGAGTGCGGTGCGAGCGGGTTGGGGATCTGTCCCCGTCTACCGATTGCAACAAAATGCACCAAATGCAGGGGCGCCAACTTCATCACGTGCACATCGGAGGGGTTTAGAGGTGAGGTACGTGCTAGGCTACCCAGGCACCTACGGCCCGAGGCCTCGGGAGATGTATTGCCCAAATCCTTAGCCCAGAGGGTACCAGCGAGCAAACAAGGTGCTGACTGCTGCCATGCGGTGGGTGCCAGCGGGGACCACAGAGACAAGTCAGCCCTCGAAGACCTAAGCATTCACACGAAAGGCGCTTTGAAGCCCAAGGTGAAGGAGCCCAAGCCTGCCCAACCTTTGGGGCCAGCAGGCGCCATCGTGAGGACCTTGGACCCTTAGAACACTTGAAAGGTCAGAAAGCATAGTGAGCATACTGTGAGAGATGGTGCAGACCACCGTCTATGGCTTTAAAGCAGCCCACCAAAGGTCTTAACCAAAGGTCTCCTCCAGGTCATACCAAGAACGAACGGCTGTCCCCTCTAAGGGAAGGGCGCTCAGCAACTTGATGCGTGGTAGCCTGACGCTCGGGGATCGTTCTGATAGGCCGATCTTGTGTGAAGCCTTTGCTGAGCGTTGTGGTCAGGCAGAGATCTGGAACGGGAGCGGGAGCTGGAGGAGTGGCCACCAAGTTTCTTGCACTTCTGGCTTATTCCAAAAGCGTGTGCCACACTGTTTTCGCCTTTTGCTGTTCCAGGATTGCGGCGCCTCTTCCTGTGGCGAGGCTGGTGTCGCAGATGCCTGGCGACATCCAGTTGACACACTTGATAGGATGGAAGGGAGCCTGATACGGCATCCACATCCACGGCCACTGGACAGGCGAAAGCCCTCGTTTTGCGAATTGCAGCCTCTCAGAACAGACCGTTTTTGATTTTGTCAGAGGCCGGGTCCACAACGCCGACCTTGACCACGAGCCAGCAGCTTACCAATCTCGGCCGTGATGTTGTGTGATGTTGCCTGATGTTGCGTGATGTTGTGCGATGTTGTGCGATGTTGTGTGATGTTGCGCGATGTTGCGTGATGTTGTGTGATGCGATATTGTGCGATGTTGCGTGATGTTGTGCGATGTTGGGCGATGTTGTGTGATGTTGCGTGAGGTTGCGTGATGTTGCGTGATGTGGCGTGATGTTGTGTGATGTTGCGTGATGTTGCGTGATGTTGCGTGATGTTGTGCGATGTTGTGCGATGTTGCGTGATGTTGCGTGATGTTGCGTGATGTTGCGTGATGTTGTGTGATGCGATATTGTGTGATGTTGCGTGATGTTGTGCGATGTTGTGCGATGTTGTGTGATGTTGTGCGGTGTTGCGTGATGTTGCGTGATGTTGCGTGATGTGGCGTGATGTTGTGCGATGTTGTGCGATGTTGCGTGATGTTGCGTGATGTTGTGCGGTGTTGCGTGATGTTGTGCGGTGTTGCGTGATGTTGCGTGATGTTGTGCGATGCTGTGCCATGTTGCGTGATGTTGCCTGATGTTGCGTGATGTTGCGTGATGTTGTGTGATGTTGCGTGATGTTGCGTGATGTTGTGTGATGTTGCGTGATGTTGTGTGATGTTGCGTGATGTTGCGTGATGTTGTGCGATGTTGTGCGATGTTGCGTGATGTTGCGTGATTTTGTGCGATGTTGCATGATGTTGTGCGATGTTGTGTGATGTTGTGTGATGTTGCGTGACGTTGCGTGATGTTGCGTGATGTTGCGTGATGTTGTGTGATGTTGCGTGATGTTGCGTGATGTTGTGTGATGTTGCGTGATTTTGTGCGATGTTGTGCGATGTTGTGTGATGTTGTGCGGTGTTGCGTGATGTTGCGTGATGTTGCGTGATGTTGTGCGATGCTGTGCGATGTTGCGTGATGTTGCGTGATGTCTCGTGATGTTGCGTGATGTTGTGTGATGTTGCGTGATGTTGCGTGATGTTGAGTGATGTTGTGCGATGTTGCGTGATGTTGCGTGATGTTGCGTGATGTTGCGTGATGTTGTGCGATGTTGTGCGATGTTGCGTGATGTTGTGCGATGTTGTGCGATGTTGTGTGATGTTGTGCGGTGTTGCGTGATGTTGCGTGATGTTGCGTGATGTTGTGCGATGCTGTGCGATGCTGCGTGATGTTGCGTGATGTTGTGTGATGTTGCGTGATGTTGCGTGATGTTGTGCGATGTTGCATGATGTTGTGCGGTGTTGCGTGATGTTGTGCGATGCTGTGCGATGCTGCGTGATGTTTTGTGATGTTGTGTGATGTTGCGTGATGTTGTGCGATGTTGCATGATGTTGTGCGATGTTGCGTGATGTTGTGTGATGTTGTTTGATGTTGCGTGATGTTGCGTGATGTTGCGTGATGTTGAAATTGTGAGATGTTGTGTGATGTTGCGGTGTAAGAGGCGACTTCTGTGCAGCGGCCGAGACGTGCTCCAGCCCGGTGTCGGTGAGAAGCTCGGGAGCGAACTGCAGTAATGTGAGGGCAGAAAGAATATGAACAACAAAAACTAAAATAAGGGAAATGCTCAGGATGTAACCTGCAGTCCTCCAACATCACCAGGCCGTGCGCACCAGGC